TTGTCCAAACGATCCGAGACCATCCCACCAAATCAACGAATTGTAGCAACCCCCCAGAGAAAAAAACAACAAACATAAATGGGGATGGGTCAAAACCCTGGTACCTAGTGAACTGGTAAATGGATGTTCATCCCACTAAAAATGTATCTATAGGTATTGACCCATACCCAAATATCTACAACTGTACGTGTAACTATTGCAGTAGGTTTTGTCTGTATCATTTTCAGAGTTGCTACCACCAAAAATTAACGTAGACCCTGGTTTTGACCAAAAAATCCTCTGGAAAATCGTGATTCTCAGGGTCCATGGGGATGTTGGGGGTATTTTCTAGGGGTATTTTCTATGTCCCGGACCCCTCTCAAAATCTCACCAAGTCTTATCCAAAATCATCCCAATCCACCCAATCATCAACCTGACTTCCCCCAAAGGAGTCAATTGGCTCAAAGTTGGTACTGTATGATTGTCACCACGGCAAACATGCTGCCGCTCGATTACCAGGAAAAGTGATGCTTCACAACAATTGTCAGAAAAAACTACGTGGAGGTTTCCTGAAATAGGGGGGTACCCCCAAATCATCCAATTTTTTCATGCTATTTTCCATGAAATGAACCATCCAGCTATGGGGGTACCCCCATGACTATGGGTTTCCCCGCCGTATGTTTTGCGAAACGCGCACCTGAAGGCGTCCGACAAATCAATGGATCATAGATGGCCATCAGGAGCAGCCGGGGCCTTCCTGCAAGCTTCACTGCAAGGTCAGGAATCAAATCACATGTTTTAAAAGGCCGATAAGGGATGTTAAGGGATGTTTTTTGGGCCTCAAATTCTCCCACTTTATGGCCAAAACATGGGGAACATGAGTTTTGTCTTTCCATGAGATACCGATTTGCAGTTTCAATGGGTCGATTCATTATTGCTGTAACCGGAAACCATTTTGTTCACCGGCAAGTACGTCCATTTCCTGCACACTTTTCGAGGCTGAGCAGGGAGGTCATCATTGCAGGCAGAGACGGAAATTGAAGATACTTGAAACCACCCACCAGTTTCTATTGAACCTATCAGTGGTTACAAATCCTCCGTGCTCTGACGTTCTATTCCTGATCTGAAGTTGGAATATCGCATCTGCATGTGGCCACTTCCGCATGTGCATTGGCGCACGAGTTCCACAAATCCCTGCAGCATCTGATGCCATAGGACCTATTCCCTCATCATGCAGGTAGTGTATACCCTCTAGCTTGGGCACACGCATATGGGCTGCAAAATATCGGTACATGTCTCCGCATCATGTCGTTGGGCTGTTTCATTGGCGTTGCGTTCTTCGCACCTCTACAACATGTCCAGATCTTTTCAGAACAGAAGATCTCTCTCTCTCTCTCTCTCTCCATCGCCACCAGGGAGATCCAGAATAGAAGATATTCTAAGAAATTCTATGATAATAATATATTCTATGATAATATTATGATAATGGTTATTAGTGAATAGATGATAGAAGATATTCTAAGGTATTCATACTCTCGGATTCCCACGCACTTTCGGTCCCCATTCTTCCGAAAGCATCCCATGATTGCGATCCGGCTTCACCCATCCACTGGCCTAACTTCCTATCATCCAGCTAGGGCCTATGGAGAAAACACATTTAAAGTGGGATCTATAAGCAGCAACCATTGGGATAAAGGCCACCAACAACCCAAAACACTGTTGTTCAACATGTTTGGAACATGGTTCACACACATTTTCCAAATTTCCCACTTCTGTGGCCAAAAAGATGTAATGGGATGGTTTTTGAGGTTCAACACACTTCTTTGCGCTGCATCCCCTGAATACTGCGCGCCTGCGACACTGGGGGGCGATGGAAAGCCCGGCGATGCCATGGCAGATGCACATGGCAATTTGTTTTCGGTGCCGAGTTAGTGCACTTGGAGACCTGGGGTTGGAGCATCAATAGCATCGAATTCATTATCAGAAAGATTCAGAAATTGGGTAAATTCTATCAGATTCTCGTAAATTACCACAAGTTGGGGAGTTTTAACCCAGTGTTCAACTTAGGAATTGGTCTTGACCTTTCCTGACTACATAGACAGCAATTACTGCACATGATTGCATCGTGTCGAACCAAGCTCTAACTGCAAAATGACAGTGGTGAAATTCGGCACGAAGCCTGTGACTGCCATTGTCAAACTATGTCCTCCTTGGGCTCTTTCTATCGCCATGATCAGACGCCATTGGTGCGTGTTTGTTCTACACGCCATTGGTTTTTGAGCTGCGGGGACGTGGGCCCAATAGTACTCCAATGTTGACCCATACATTCAGCTGCTCCCGATGACTTGGCATCTTTGGGAGGTCAAAAACCAGGCATCCTGCGGCATCCTGGCTATTGGCTATTAAGATTTTAAGTCCCCAGAGCTACAGTTTGGCTCACTTCCAACACATGAAATTCAACCATCCAACATTTCTCCAACGTTGTCCGTCCTAGTCTTGAAGCACTATACTCACTATACTCCCTTATATAGAGTACACGTTCATGCTCAGGTGCTGCGAGGTTCCATGACATGATCCAAGGGGCTGGGGCAAAGGAGGGCACAGGTGCCACCGCAATTTTTGTCTGGCAATGGTCAATTGCAATAGTCAATCTACAGACACAACCTATATACTAGAAACAACCTACAAAAAATAAACACCCACACACACACACATATATATATATAGATAGAATAGATACACATACATATTCCCATTGGCAGTGTTTATTTTCAGGGAATGTACTAATGTAGGACACAAATCCTCCATGTATGGCATATTTACCATGTAGCTATCTGGGCCAGCCTTGCCTGTGAGGTCGGACAGTGATCATTGCCATCCCCCAAACTAACATAGACCCTGCGAATGACCAATTTTTAGAGGAATGTATCCCGCTCTCTATTTGGCAGGGTCTATGTTAGTTGGGTCGATGGAATATTCCCCTTATGCACATACGTACGTATATATATATGCGTATAAATGGCAATTGTGATCAACTGTCTGCATTGATTGTATCCTAAAAAATCACAATGTTTTAATGTAATATATCGTGATAATAGTTTTCATACAAATGTGTATATATATATATTTGTATATAGATATATATGATATATATTTGTATATATATATACATATAGATATACACAGTATATACACATTGTATATGCAGTGTGTATGTGCCCATGTTCAAACACAGACCCAGCACGGCATCATGAGAAAATCATCGAACATCGCCGCTTCGCCTCGTGCGGCAGAGCGCCGCAAAAAACCTGAGCGCAACAGTTGGGGTTGAGAATCATCTTTTAAATTGTTACATAGCGATTGAAAATACAATTAAAATAGCATAATGGTAATGTTTGGTAAATCTTTGAACTAAATGGGTTTTGGACAGTATTGGTAAATCACGACATGGGTCATCGGAACCAGAGCTATCTTAAATTACTATAAATTACTAAAGGGTATGGACATCGTGTTTTTCTCGAAAGACAGTGGATTAAGATAACCTTCCCAGGAACAGGCTAGGAAAGATTCTATCGCGTCCTTCAAGGATTTCTATCGAAAAAGAATCCATTTAGGAACAACCTCGACCCCCAAGCCCTTGGGGAAAATTATGGGGGTTTTTGGAGTTCACCGTCGATTGATTCTATCCGAAACACCGTCCGATACCCTCTGGTAAACATACAAAAAACTATGGAAAGATCCACCATTTTCAATGGGAAAATCCACTATAAATGGCAATTTTCAATAGCTATGTTAAATTACCAGAGGGTACTACTTTGGCCTACTAATTTGGTCTTGGTTCCTATAGGACTTTGTTTGAGCTGCATGTCTTTGGCATTAATTAGTGAAAAAAATGCAAACAAATATGTCTGCAGAACCTAAAACAAGGAAAACACCTGCAAATCGAGAAACCTTTTTGTTTTGGGCGGTTTACTTTTTTTTTTTGGAGTTCCGAAATTCCTCAGGTTTTATGCATGTGGGGGCAGTGCTGAGATTTTCCCGGAAACATACTATACACATTCGGACCAATGCGAATCATCCTTTGGGTCGTTGGACCTCTCCTCTTAGAACGATATATTTTTCTCGGCAGTGGAAGGTCAATATGCAACAACCTCCCGTGAGCCGGGACCAAAGATATACCATCTACTTGGAATTGTTTGGGGCCAAAATAGCAAGACACATAAAGACATACTACAAGTATATCCAGTATATCTATGGTATGTATACCTTGGGTTGTTCCAATTCACCTTTCTATGGGGTATTTTTTTTTAATGAGGAGAATGGATCAATGGATGATATGACAGATTATCGGATGATGATACCGTGATCTGGTTCGATTTCACCCAAAAAAACGACATACTGGGATGTTGCTGATGATATTTATCCAACGTATCTTAACTTACTTGTACGATTGTTCAAGAACTGGGGTTGCCATAAAGGCAGAAAAAAACCTCGCCACCATGGGCAACTCCATTTTGAAATTCTTAGCCAGCCCCCCAAAAAATAGATTGAGCATTTGATCATTGCAGTTTCAAAGAAACACTGGTGGTTTCTACCTGAGAAAAAATGAATGATTACAGTATATCATCATCTTCCGGTTTATATCTTCATGAAAAAACAAGGAACAATTAGCATCCCTGTTCAGTTCCCCATTGATATATCACTAACCTCCGATAGAAAATGAGTCAAAATACTAACTCAATCAGGTCATCTAATCATCAATCACTCAGTCAGGTCATCTAATAATCCATCCTGAACCATGTTTTTAGGTCAAAATATGTCAATATCCATTCTTCATATAGAAAAAAAAAACATCCATTCTTCAATGTCCATCGAGTTTGCGATGTGGGTAAATATAGAATCATAAACCATCCCCCATGTTTTACCCACATTATTCATAGAGTTTCTATATATAAACTCAACATAAATCCCAGCCACCACGTCATCGCCCAGCAACCGCAACGCAACGCGGCAGTAACGCGTCACTGGAACATCTCGGGGGTCGACACCTCAACTGCCGCGCCACGTCTTCTGCGTCCCGCGCTCGGCAGCGGTGCCTGGAGAACTCCCAAACAGATTAACAAGGAAAAGTAGAGCAGCATAGGGATAAAGGAGTTTTGAATTTTCTATCATTTTGGGGATGGCCATATATACCTATATATACTATACATAGAATTGCACACACACACACATATATATATATATACACTATCTCTCTGTGTATATATATATATGTACACAGTATATTATATAGAAAACAATGGTGAGATCGTGGCGACTTCCCTGTAATTTAACCAACTTTCTCCAGCGCCATCTCCAACTCGAGAGACCTGCACAACGCCCTTGGCGGCACGAGCTGGTGCCTGCGCTGTGGGTTTAGTCAGGGATGAAGCCGGTGAAACATATGCTGAAAACATGCGAATGTAAGGAATACAATGGTGAACATAGGGAAAGCACATGATAATGGTTGATGCTGATTTTAATGATACTGATGATTTTTTATTGTTGATGATGATGGTGATGATGATGATGATGATGGACATGGGCGTGCTGTGAAAATCTGTATCAGGATCAAAAATGTCTGCCAAACATATTCGAACAAACCCGTTTTCTCACCATAAATCCATTCCACCATATTCCACCTAACATTAAATACCACCCAAAGAAATCCTGGTTCATTGGGTCTATTCATTTTTGGGAGCATACAAGTGGTATTTAATGGTAGAGGACGGGGTTACCACCTTTGGAATCCCACGGCAATATCCTCACGCGCACTGAAAGGCAAGATACATGTAATATAATTCAGATCAACATTAGATCAACAAAAAAACGTGCAAACACACATACACATGTACATGTACATATATATATATGTGTGTGTGTGTATGTTAATTACATGGACAAAATACATAAACAATCATATAATAATATATGTATACATATATATGTAGTATACATATATGTAGTATATATATATATGTAATATATATATATTATATGTATTGTATGCATATATATATATGATCTATAATATGTATGTATAATATATATATATATATGTATATGTATATACATGGCAAATAATACCAAACCATCCCCAATATCCCAAAATACTACTCAAACAATTGTAACAAAAATCTAACCCAAAAATCAACCCACAAAACATGTGCCAATCTTTTTTTGGGATAGATGAAACATCAAATCATCCTTTGCTTATTTGGGGTGATGATTTTGATATACCCTCTGGTAAACTAACATAACTATGGAAAATCACCATTTTCAATGGGTAAATCCACTATAAATGGCCATTTTCAATAGCTATTTTGACATAACCAGAGGGTATATGTTGATCACCCCAAAGGCCAGTCCGGGGCACGTGGCATCACCATGCATCACCCACCCCAAAGGAGCGCCCCACCTGTGGCATCACCATGGGGAAATCCAGGATCTTGCCGGTGGGATCCAGTAAAATCGGCAGCCTCGACTGGCTCGACTGGCTCCGAGCTGATTTTTTGATGGGATGATATGGGGATGGGTCAAAACCCTGGTACCTCTGGTGAACCCCAAGTCATAGCTGGGTTAAAATGGATGTGAATAACCCACTAAAAATGTATCTATAGGTATTGATCCATACCCACATGATAATACTGGGATAATCATGGGATAATGATGGGGTAATGTTGTTTTTTTTTCCCAGTATCCTATGAACATGATGTTTAATAGGAATGATAATGGGATAATGATGGGATAATACTGGGATATGAGTGGATAGACCCCCTGGTACACTAACAGTTTGCGAACTGGAAAAGCACCAGCGATTGAACAGGTAAAACAACGAACTAAATAGGCAATTTTCAATAGCTATGTTAAATTACCAGAGGGTAGAGAGATCTCAAGCTTCGCTGAAAACATGATGAAACAATGGTGAAACAATGAATGATAAAGACTGGGATATGACTGGGATATGGTAACCCCTAACACCTGGCTGCCCCCTTTAGGTTGTAGGCTGCCAGTGGGGAAAGCATCCCCTAGGCAGGAATGGCATAGTCCCAGCTTTGGGATGGAGAACAACACAAATTATATTCAAACCATTTGGAGACCACCAAGCTGTTTCATTGCATAAATGTATATGTATATATAGATTATACATTATTTGATTATAGAATTATATATATATAGGCACATATCAATTATTAATCCATGATTACCCATTTGTGTATATCTGTGCCGGTTAGGTCCCATCATTTTCATGCCACGCCATCCCGGGCCATCGCCATGGCCGCCATGGTACCACTCTTTGTCAGCACGGGCCATGATGGGACTCCCCTGAAGCCGGACGATGTTTGGATGCAGCCCCTGTACTCGAGCAGGAGACACCTGGGGCAGGTCAACTGGGGCGATCTATGATCTGGTTGCATAATAACCCTAAAAACACGCGGAGCGTACAGTGTATATGTACAGCAATTATATATATATATATATGTGTGTGTGTGTGCGCGTGTGCTGATACAAAGATTCATTAAATGTCGCTTATATATATATGCTTATACTTATATAACGTATCTGTTGCAATTGATTCATGATATCTACACAGGCTTACAAGCATATGTGCACGCACACAGCCGGTCGAGGCAAATGTAGTATTTCAGGATGGGCGCGCTACCGCTGATGGGTCCCGGAAAAAGGTGATGTAGGGATCAGCCTGAAAACTAGCAGCGAGTGGTTGCAGGGCCAACGCCAATCCAGGAACTCAAAAGAACTTAACTGTTCGCAATCATTTCCACTCCCCTGCTATGCTACCCCAAAAAGGGCAGAAAAGGGATTTGCTGTTTCAGAAGGAACAGCCTTTCCATCTTCTTTGGGTTCCTGTAAGATCCTATACATCTGAGGTGGCCCACCTCTTGCAACGTTTTGAGGTGGCACGGGCCCACTCCACCCATGGCTTTCTCCAAAGAGATCAGATCCTCGTTTTCTGATACGCTCTGCTCATCAGTCACATGGCTTGAACCGTCCACATTTAGTTGCAGTATCATACAGTATCCATTTATATACATCTTATAGTGGATACTTAAATCCATCTATCATACAGTATCCATTTAATCTTATATTTATATTTAACTATCACTTTTTCCATGGATTTCCCATGGGATTTCCCAGGCATAGGCAGCCATGACCGCTTCCGGGTTGCCTCCAGCACCTTTTTGCTGTTGAAGCCAGGCAGCTTCTCTCCACCTTGGATCCAAGTTGGATGACCCGCCCATGGCCGAGCCACTGGCCTTGATGGACCATGGTTTAAGCCATGTAATGCCAGGTATACCCTCTGGTTATGTCAAAATAGCTATTGAAAATGGCCATTGATAGTGGATTTTCCCATTAAAAATGATGATTTTCCATAGCTATGTTAAATTACCAGAGGGTACATGAAATATATCTACCATCTGGTTATGACATTCACAGTTTGCCATGGAAAGATCCAGCATTTTTAAGAACGGTAAACCATCGAACTAAATGGGCCATCTATACCATGGCAAACTGTTAGTCATAACCAGAGGGTAAATGTATGTAAATGTCCATGGCAAACTCTTAGCTGAAAATCCGATCTACCAACCTATGGTGATTCAGACATCGCCCAGACCCCTTCGATCCAATTCGATCAGCGGCTCTGCTGACCATGAAACTCATCTCTGAATCTGGCTAAGGCCTTCAGGGTTTCAGCAAATTTACCCTCTGGTAGACTAATAGCTATTGAACATGGCCATTTATAGTTCATTTACTCAAGAAAAATTGTGATTTTCCATATGTTAGTTTACCAGAGGGTATCAGGTTCAGAGATCATCGGAGCCAAGTGTGTTGGAATATCTGGAATCGAATAAATGCGGGCTAGACCCAACCAGAGCTTTGAGGAGAAAATGAGCGGGATAATATAACATGTTTCAGCCCCATTATCCTCCAGTGAACTAACATAATTATGGAACATGGCCCATTTATTGTAAATGATTTATGAAATGGCCCATAATAATGGAACATTCCCATACATAAATAACATAATTATGGAACATAATTGATTTAACTATAGCAGCTGTAAATCAATTGCCGATTGACACGCGCGGCGTGCGGTCACAAACTCATCACCAAGCTTTGCACAACCCGGCCTTGGAGGTCCGGAAGTTCAAGAAACAATAGCCCACATTGCACTTGTTCCTGCCAGCCAGGAACCATGGGTACAACACGCAGGTGTTGTGAATTGAACGCGATGTTGTTTGCGGACTAGCCGCACCACTCAAAAAACCATCGAGGTCGAGGATTTACAAATTACTACGTGAATCCAGTAAATAAATGGGTATGGATCAATACCTATTAATACCATTTTTAGGGGGATGAACATCCATTTACCAGCTATTTTGATGTTCACCAGGGGGATAGGGTTTTGACCCATCCCCAAATCCCAAATCACATACTTGTCACCTGAAGCTGCCAAGAAATTACCCTCTGGTAAACATACATTAAAACTATGAAAAGATCCACCATTTTATAGCTGGGTAAATCCACTATTTCTATGGCCATGTTCAATAGCTTTTTGTATGTTTACCAGAGGGTACATACATTTACCATCTGGTTATGACTAACGGTTTGCCATGGAAAATCACCAAAATAAATGGAGGTTTCTAGCTTGGAAAATAATCTATAAATGGGCCATTTTCCATGGCTATGTATGCGTTCCCAGCATTGTTTCTCCGTCCTATTACTGCGGGATGTATCAAGGATGGATCAAGGACCTTTGCTCCCCCAGCCTGAAGTCAATGGGCAGGTAGAGAAAGTCGATATCACCTGAGCCATGACGCGCAAAACTTGGCTTTGCTATGGTTTCATAGCAATAGACTATAGACAAAACCAGAAACATATTCAAAGTGTCTGAAGCACTTTGGGGGGTACCATCAAACAACCCATCGTTTTCCAATCATTTTCAGATATTTTCGGATGTTGAGGGTCCGTGGAATAGTTGTGGCCCCTAATTGGTCATTTCAAATGGATTGAAAACGTGGCAATAATTTCTTAACCTCAGGACCTTTTCTGTTTCACGCAGCGGTGCTACTATTTTCTTCAATTGATGTATTATGTCTATCGCGCAGGGTTACCAGGCAAGACACAACATGATAGGGTGGTTTGAATCTAGCTGCGCCTTTTTCAAGTGCCTGCGCCCTTTTCTTTTCAAAAGAGCAGAAACATGAGGGCCAAAAAGACAAGGCGGATAAAAGCAGGTGCAGGGAGACTCCAGGTACGTGAGTTTACTGAAAATGGCCATAGAAATAGTAGATTTACCCATTAAACATAGTGATTTTCCATAGTTTTTTGTATGTTTACCAGGTTACCAGAGGGTAAAATCCAAGTGTGTCAACAATGGATCAATCAGCTCATCGACGGGGGAAGCTGATGAATCACCATGAATCACCCTCCAGCTGTGTAACTTGCCACTGAGCAGCGTTTAAAAACCCGTTAAGTCATTCCACTACTATCTTGGCAGGTATTCGGTTATATATTCGCTATGCCTATGAAATGGGTGATGAATAACCCCCTAGTCCCCAACAAACCAGCTTTTGTTGACTCACTATACTGTCCGATCAACAGCCAGCCTTCATGGCTTTTGCATCGCTTTGGTCACTGCTTGACAATGGCAAAACATCCCCAAAACGGCGCACCTTTGTAGCCACAGCTGTTCAGGCGGCTCACCAGCTTGTCGCGCATGTACCTAAGGCATCGTGGGTATCACCCTTGAGGGAGGGGAAAAAAAAATGTCTACGGAAAGCACGCTTTGTTGAGCAAAATCAGATACCCTCTGGTAATTTAACATAGCTATTGAAAATCACAATTTTTAATGGGAAAATCCACTATAAATGGCAATTTTCAATAGCTATGTTAAATTACCAGAGGGTATTACAACATCATACAACATCTAAGAAGGCTTCAAAAGCTAGGGCCGGAAACGGTTCGGAACCCCATGGGTTTCACCCAAAGTGCTTGACTTAGTCCTGGCTAAATTAAGGCCGGGGATTGAGCCCCCTTAGGAACCATCATTTCAGTGATGTCACATTGAGGACATGATGCTTCATCTAGATATTTTTGAGATGTCCCATGCCAATGTTGAAGGGATTCATCAAAAGATACCAGGAGATTCGCACGGATGCCTTTGATAAGTGCACATGCCTTTGGCCTTGCCATTTTTCTACCGCCTTGATGTGAGCGAAGCAAAATATGTGTCAAAGCAAAATAAGCGCTCATCGCTAATCTCAAATGCCATGCCTCCACCCAAACTGGTCTTCAAGCTAGCATCAACCATCCCTGCTGAAAGATGCGAAACGGGGCAAACAATGAACTATTAGACGAACCACCACTGAAATACACACAACCTCATTGTTTACCAAGTTTTACCCAATATATCCCAATATACTGCAGCTCTTTTTTTGTGCCCAGCTGCTTGTTTGGAAGATTTCGCAGCATAGCTGTTGTGTAGCCCATTCTGATCCAACTATCGCCACCATCCTCCTCGGCATCAGGAAACATGTTTTTTCTTGGGCTGGCTGGAGGTATCCCAATCGCCATAAATGTTAAATTATGTTACTTGTGAGGTATTGTATTAACACTTAAATATAATGTCTGGTTGGTGGTTTGAACCATCTTGAAAGATATGAGTTCGTCAATGGGAAGGATTAATTATCCCATATATGAATTGGAAAATAACAGCCATGTTTGAAACCACCAAACAGATGTTATCCAATAAGATACCCTCCAGTAAATTAACATAGACCCTGGCAGTCATCGGGGTTGGAAGATTAGTTTCCACTAAAAATTGGTCATTTTCAGGGTCCAACTGTTTATTTACCATAAGATAATGATATTAATCATTGATTATCATTATTAACCAGTATTAACCATTATTAACCATTATTAACCACTATTAACCACTATTAACCACTATTAACCACTATTAACCACTATCAACCACGATTATCCCATTATTAACCACTATTAACCACTATTAACCACGATTAACCACGATTATCCCATTATTAACCACTATTAACCACTATTAACCACTATTAACCACGATTATCCCATTATTAACCACTATTAACCACTATTAACCACGATTATCCCATTAAATGATGACCATGAAATCTTGGAGAACGTGGATCGAATCACCGAATCTGGCCGAGGTACTGGGCCGGATTCATCCAACAAACCTGGGAGCTGTGAGTGGAAAAAAATGAGCCGCCTCGAAGATTGTTGGCACGTTTTTCCTTTAATATATGGTTGCATATATATATATATAATTATACAAATAATTATATATATAATTATATATATATTGAACAAAAAAATATATTTTATATATATATATATATAATTCTATCACATATATATATATGTATATATATATATATATAATCAAGCCATCATTGATGCTGCCAATCTGGATGGGTGCGGCAAATGGAAGAACCTTGGGCCGTGGATATCACCTGCGACAGCATTTTTTTTTGCAGGGTTTCATCGCCTGAAAACACTTCAAGAACTCACGGACGGGGGCTGAAACCACAGTTGATGGTGTTTTCATGATTAACTGGTTGGTGGTTTCAACCCCCCTGAAAAATATGAAAGTCAGATTGGATCATCATCCCAACTATTGGGGAAAATAAAACATGTTTAAAACCACCAACCAGTTAAAATATGATAAAAAGTCATAATGAAGTTGATTAACGTTTGGATGTGACTTTTGGACATGATAAACGGTATTCATCATGGTTGGTAAATATGACAATATAATTGCCTAATTAATAATGGCTGTTATAATTTGGACAATATAAGTAACCTAATTTACTTGTGGTTGGGTTGGTAAATGTCATACTTAAACATCACCTAACTATTGCGGATATAATATCCAACATATTATTACTTGAAAGAGATATTCAAAATCCCAAAAAAAACCAAGGACATTTACCAACCCCTGTTCAAGTTTGATCCTCTTTCAAGTGATTTTGATCCTTGAGCTTTGAGATCCTACTTCGCAAAATTGTGGCCGAGCCCAGGCTGGAAAGGAGTCTCAATGTGCAGTTGGGGTCTTTGGCCATGTAATATCATTTACCCTCTGGTTATGTCAAAATAGCTATTGAAAATGGCCATAGAAATGGTGGAATTTCCCATGAAAAATGGTGGATCTTTCCATAGCTATGTTAAATTACCAGAGGGTAATGGTGATTTTGTCAATTTGTCGTCTCAAACTCCCTGATGCATCCTTGAAGTGACTAATTCATCATACAATTTTGATGAATTTTGTGGATTTCTCAATGTTTAAAAATAGTTTGAAATACATTAAAATACAATGTCTTCACCAATTCTCTTGGATTAGCTCACAGACCCCCTAAAAAAAAAAAACATAGAACCATTCCCAAAAAGATTCACTATTTCTGGAGGATGAACCAGAAACCAACAAGTCACTTTTACAAAACGCAAATCCAAATTCTTTTCCAGGGTTCAGGTGCCAAAACTTACTGGTGCTTGGTAGGGGAATGCCCCAATCCAGAACTATTAAGAATCATTCCATTCCCTTCACTACATTTAGCATCATTTAGCACCAGGAAAAGGGGACCACCTCGAAAATCCAGAAACTCTCCACCATCTGGCGAAAGTGCGACGTCTCATCCATGGGTTCTGAATGCTTCACCTGCAGCGATGGCCGTGATGGCCAAAGTTCAGAAAGACTGGAACGCAACAAAGATATGCGTTTTCTTATAACCATCCAAAAAATGATTGTAACATATTGTAACAAAGATTTCGTGCAAATCGGAATGTCTGTATAGGCGATTGCAAGCACATGCAAGCACATAGGGATCTTGATACCGGATGATATCGGAGATAACATGGTGTAATATAATTAGTATATATGACCAATCATTATGATATCTGGGTGTGTCTCGTGTGTCCAAAACATGAGGTATACCCCAAGATTCCCATGAAATGATGAGAGAAATAATGATAATTCCATGGAATTGGTTGGTACTCCATTTTCATGCCCAAATAAAGGGTTTAGACAGCGGAAATGGTGATCACATTACCAAACATCAGGGATAGACCCTCTGGCAAACTATCATGGATTGCCCAAATTACTTAGACATGTTTAGTAACCAACAAACGATATCCAACGATGTTGCTTTTAGCGGGGTGGGACCATTTCCTCAAGCAAAGCCTGGCGCAAACTCTACTCATGAACCAACAGCATACACAAGGGTTCACACCCAGTCACATGTGCACGAGAGAAAGGCATTATATGGCAGTGTGTCAAAACCTTGTTTTGTACCCCTGGTGAACATCAAAATAGCTGGTAAATGGATGTTCATCCCACTAAAAATGGTATATAATAGGTATTGATCCATACCCATATGGCTTGATGACTCCTCGTCATTTCAAAAACTGGCGCCACCTGTGTCCCCAAATAAGGCTCAAGTCAATGATGGCCGAGTATGCTTCGAGTCAAAACTGCAGCTTCCAGGAGTCTCCCAAAATTCAGCGCAAACCAAAACAAAAATCATGATCAATATACTGTAATATATATAATATATATATATATAGATTACGAGATTACTATTATTTTTGCCGCGGCAAACCGCGGCGGCCTCTCCAAACATCACTGCCTTGATTTCATCCCAGGGCTTCACCGCCTCTGGGAGGCCTCGGTTAAAGGCCCAATGGATGGCTTGGGTTTTCCGGGGATTTTCTCTGGTTGGTGGATGTTGGTGGTTGACCTACCCCATGGTTAATAGTGGCTAATAGTGGCTAATAGTGGTTAATAGTGGTTAGTAGTGGTTAATAGTGGTTAATAGTGGTTAATGATGGTTAATGATGGTTAATGATGGTTAATAGTGGTTAATAGTGGTTAATGATGGTTAATGATGGTTAATGATGGTTAATAGTGGTTAATAGTGGTTAATGAAGGTTAATCATTGATTAAACAAATGGCTGGTTGGTGGTTGGTTGACCTACCCCTCTGAAAAATGATGGAGTGAAAGTCAGTTGGGATGATGACATTCCCAATATATGGAAAAATAAAATTCATGTTCCAAACCAGCAACCAGTTCTAGTTGTTCGAAGTGACATGGTTGATGCTCCCATGCTTTCTTGATCTTTCTTGATTTTTTGTTGGCATGACACGCTTGACTCCTTGACTCCCTATGTTTTTTCCCGACTTTCCTTGACATGTTTGATTCTGTTTATGGATGTCATGGCATCTTTTGCCTAAACAGCTGTACGTTCCGGCGTCCTGCTCCTATCTTCCATTGTCTCACACTATCTGACACCAAGCACTTTCGAGGTCCCATGGCTGTTTTCATCTGGCAGTTGAGTCCCAACCAGCGTCACCAGCAGCTCGCGCCGAGGGACGGAAAGGGGGTTCAGCAGCATCGTGAGTTGCGTGGTCCTCCTCCCAGTAGTTCCACTCCCGCCTTGAGGATGGACGGTGTATACTGGAGACATCGCGGGTTTTTCTGGTGGGAGATATATGCAATCTCAACTTGATGTATACTGGGGATTACTGGGATATACGGCAATGGAATGCAATGGACCTATAGTTCGTCATTGCTCAAACATAAGTATGGTTTTCAGTATATGATATGATCATATATGATCCAATTCCAATCCATATTTCGGTACAGGCGCCGGGAAAGGAACCACTCTTTCCGCTTTCCAGTCTGCTTTTAGCAATATTTCGTATCTATTGACGGCATGGGGAATTTTGTATCTCACAAGTGCGCTTTAATGTCCTTAACAATGACCCCCCCATGGATACGTCAACTGAGTTTATTAACATGTTGCAACTGACAAGGCTTAAGTGGATTCGAAACTTATAAACTGATTATGCATCTTCCCTAACTATGTTTCTTTTAGCTAGTGGATCTGTTTCTGTTCTCAGGTATGGCAGGTTGATTTGAGATCTCCTGGCCCAGGGAACCCAACAACCTTTACCCTCCGGGAAGCGTGGCTTGAAGGGAAATCCCCTACGCAAGGCATCGCAAGGCCATTCAAAAAGCAAGGCATCATCTATAGGCGATTTTCTAGTACCATGCTTGATTAGAGGATAACTTAGAAATGCCCACACAACTCTATGTTGCTTGGTGGTTCATCCCACTTACTGAGTAGTTTTATATCCCTGGTTCTAAGTGGGATAAGTAAGGGCAATCCACTCAAAAAACTTGGGTTATAACCTACTTACTAAGTGGGATGAACCACCAAGACTGGAAAAATATGCTACATATATAACATTATAACTATATATAACTATATACAGTAACCGTATGTTACTCTTTGAATTTGCGTGGTTTTGTTCCAGGTTCCCGGTTGCATCCAAAACGCTTCAGCATCTCGTCATCTTCAAATTCGGGAACCAGTTCCGGAGTCGGCCAACCTGTTGAGAATGCCGGGTCACAAGGGTCAGCACCTATTGAGCACCCCAATGTGTATATATATATATATATTATATATATGTGTGTGTTGTAGGGAGTTATGCTTGCTGGGCTATTGGGATTATATATGATTAAATCATAAATCATCATTATATTTGTCATGTGTCATTCTTCACTATTTTTTTTCTTTCATGATATCCTCCAGCTTAACGTAAACCCAAATAGGGGGAAGACTACTTCCCTCAAACATCCTCAAAGAATTGGCGATTCTCAGGGTCAAATTGTGTGAATGTCCATGTTGTCTGGGGCAAAGTCCATGTTGTGAAATCCTTGCTCTTTGATGGTAACAGTTAGATCGGATGGTTGGGGCTCTTGCTAACGTTTGGATGTGACTTTTGGACATGATAAACGGTATTCATCATGGTTGGTAAATATGACAATATAATTGCCTAATTAATAATGGCTGTTATAATTTGGACAATATAAGTAACTTAATTTACTTGTGGTTGGGTTGGTAAATGTCATACTTAAACATCACCTAACTATTGCGGATATAATATCCAACATATTATTACTTGAAAGAGATATTCAAAATCCCAAAAAAAACCAAGGACATTTACCAACCCCTGTTCAAGTTTGATCCTCTTTCAAGTGATTTTGATCCTTGAGCTTTGAGATCCTACTTCGCAAAATTGTGGCCGAGCCCAGGCTGGAAAGGAGTCTCAATGTGCAGTTGGGGTCTTTGGCCATGTAATATCATTTACCCTCTGGTTATGTCAAAATAGCTATTGAAAATGGCCATAGAAATGGTGGAATTTCCCATGAAAAATGGTGGATCTTTCCATAGCTATGTTAAATTACCAGAGGGTAATGGTGATTTTGTCAATTTGTCGTCTCAAACTCCCTGATGCATCCTTGAAGTGACTAATTCATCATACAATTTTGATGAATTTTGTGGATTTCTCAATGTTTAAAAATAGTTTGAAATACATTAAAATACAATGTCTTCACCAATTCTCTTGGATTAGCTCACAGACCCCCTAAAAAAAAAAAACATAGAACCATTCCCAAAAAGATTCACTATTTCTGGAGGATGAACCAGAAACCAACAAGTCACTTTTACAAAACGCAAATCCAAATTCTTTTCCAGGGTTCAGGTGCCAAAACTTACTGGTGCTTGGTAGGGGAATGCCCCAATCCAGAACTATTAAGAATCATTCCATTCCCTTCACTACATTTAGCATCATTTAGCACCAGGAAAAGGGGACCACCTCGAAAATCCAGAAACTCTCCACCATCTGGCGAAAGTGCGACGTCTCATCCATGGGTTCTGAATGCTTCACCTGCAGCGATGGCCGTGATGGCCAAAGTTCAGAAAGACTGGAACGCAACAAAGATATGCGTTTTCTTATAACCATCCAAAAAATGATTGTAACATATTGTAACAAAGATTTCGTGCAAATCGGAATGTCTGTATAGGCGATTGCAAGCACATGCAAGCACATAGGGATCTTGATACCGGATGATATCGGAGATAACATGGTGTAATATAATTAGTATATATGACCAATCATTATGATATCTGGGTGTGTCTCGTGTGTCCAAAACATGAGGTATACCCCAAGATTCCCATGAAATGATGAGAGAAATAATGATAATTCCATGGAATTGGTTGGTACTCCATTTTCATGCCCAAATAAAGGGTTTAGACAGCGGAAATGGTGATCACATTACCAAACATCAGGGATAGACCCTCTGGCAAACTATCATGGATTGCCCAAATTACTTAGACATGTTTAGTAACCAACAAACGATATCCAACGATGTTGCTTTTAGCGGGGTGGGACCATTTCCTCAAGCAAAGCCTGGCGCAAACTCTACTCATGAACCAACAGCATACACAAGGGTTCACACCCAGTCACATGTGCACGAGAGAAAGGCATTATATGGCAGTGTGTCAAAACCTTGTTTTGTACCCCCTGGTGAACATCAAAATAGCTGGTAAATGGATGTTCATCCCACTAAAAATGGTATATAATAGGTATTGATCCATACCCATATGGCTTGATGACTCCTCGTCATTTCAAAAACTGGCGCCACCTGTGTCCCCAAATAAGGCTCAAGTCAATGATGGCCGAGTATGCTTCGAGTCAAAACTGCAGCTTCCAGGAGTCTCCCAAAATTCAGCGCAAACCAAAACAAAAATCATGATCAATATACTGTAATATATATAATATATATATATATAGATTACGAGATTACTATTATTTTTGCCGCGGCAAACCGCGGCGGCCTCTCCAAACATCACTGCCTTGATTTCATCCCAGGGCTTCACCGCCTCTGGGAGGCCTCGGTTAAAGGCCCAATGGATGGCTTGGGTTTTCCGGGGATTTTCTCTGGTTGGTGGATGTTGGTGGTTGACCTACCCCATGGTTAATAGTGGCTAATAGTGGCTAATAGTGGTTAATAGTGGTTAATAGTGGTTAATAGTGGTTAATAGTGGTTAATGATGGTTAATGATGGTTCATGATGGTTGATAGTGGTTAATAGTGGTTAATGATGGTTAATGATGGTTAATGATGGTTAATAGTGGTTAATAGTGGTTAATAGTGGTTAATGATGATTAATGATGGTTAATGATGGTTAATAGTGGTTAATAGTGGTTAATGATGGTTAATGATGGTTAATGATGGTTAATAGTGGTTAATAGTGGTTAATAGTGGTTAATGAAGGTTAATCATTGATTAAACAAATGGCTGGTTGGTGGTTGGTTGACCTACCCCTCTGAAAAATGATGGAGTGAAAGTCAGTTGGGATGATGACATTCCCAATATATGGAAAAATAAAATTCATGTTCCAAACCAGCAACCAGTTCTAGTTGTTCGAAGTGACATGGTTGATGCTCCCATGCTTTCTTGATCTTTCTTGATTTTTTGTTGGCATGACACGCTTGACTCCTTGACTCCCTATGTTTTTTCCCGACTTTCCTTGACATGTTTGATTCTGTTTATGGATGTCATGGCATCTTTTGCCTAAACAGCTGTACGTTCCGGCGTCCTGCTCCTATCTTCCATTGTCTCACACTATCTGACACCAAGCACTTTCGAGGTCCCATGGCTGTTTTCATCTGGCAGTTGAGTCCCAACCAGCGTCACCAGCAGCTCGCGCCGAGGGACGGAAAGGGGGTTCAGCAGCATCGTGAGTTGCGTGGTCCTCCTCCCAGTAGTTCCACTCCCGCCTTGAGGATGGACGGTGTATACTGGAGACATCGCGGGTTTTTCTGGTGGGAGATATATGCAATCTCAACTTGATGTATACTGGGGATTACTGGGATATACGGCAATGGAATGCAATGGACCTATAGTTCGTCATTGCTCAAACATAAGTATGGTTTTCAGTATATGATATGATCATATATGATCCAATTCCAATCCATATTTCGGTACAGGCGCCGGGAAAGGAACCACTCTTTCCGCTTTCCAGTCTGCTTTTAGCAATATTTCGTATCTATTGACGGCATGGGGAATTTTGTATCTCACAAGTGCGCTTTAATGTCCTTAACAATGACCCCCCCATGGATACGTCAACTGAGTTTATTAACATGTTGCAACTGACAAGGCTTAAGTGGATTCGAAACTTATAAACTGATTATGCATCTTCCCTAACTATGTTTCTTTTAGCTAGTGGATCTGTTTCTGTTCTCAGGTATGGCAGGTTGATTTGAGATCTCCTGGCCCAGGGAACCCAACAACCTTTACCCTCCGGGAAGCGTGGCTTGAAGGGAAATCCCCTACGCAAGGCATCGCAAGGCCATTCAAAAAGCAAGGCATCATCTATAGGCGATTTTCCAGTACCATGCTTGATTAGAGGATAACTTAGAAATGCCCACACAACTCTATGTTGCTTGGTGGTTCATCCCACTTACTGAGTAGTTTTATATCCCTGGTTCTAAGTGGGATAAGTAAGGGCAATCCACTCAAAAAACTTGGGTTATAACCTACTTACTAAGTGGGATGAACCACCAAGACTGGAAAAATATGCTACATATATAACATTATAACTATATATAACTATATACAGTAACCGTATGTTACTCTTTGAATTTGCGTGGTTTTGTTCCAGGTTCCCGGTTGCATCCAAAACGCTTCAGCATCTCGTCATCTTCAAATTCGGGAACCAGTTCCGGAGTCGGCCAACCTGTTGAGAATGCCGGGTCACAAGGGTCAGCACCTATTGAGCACCCCAATGTGTATATATATATTATATATGTGTGTGTTGTAGGGAGTTATGCTTGCTGGGCTATTGGGATTATATATGATTAAATCATAAATCATCATTATATTTGTCATGTGTCATTCTTCACTATTTTTTTCTTTCATGATATCCTCCAGCTTAACGTAAACCCAAATAGGGGGAAGACTACTTCCCTCAAACATCCTCAAAGAATTGGCGATTCTCAGGGTCAAATTGTGTGAATGTCCATGTTGTCTGGGGCAAAGTCCATGTTGTGAAATCCTTGCTCTTTGATGGTAACAGTTAGATCGGATGGTTGGGGCTCTTGCTAATGGTTTCCCTTCACAAGCTGTTCCGGCGTGCGCACGGCCACCATTGCCCTCTGCCTGTGGAGCATTGGTAGATGTCGCCCGTCCTTAGCATCAAATGCCAAGCTCAAAACAAAAGCATGAGACATCTGACCAAGACCCAATACTTTTGAAACAAGTAACAACTATTTCTCCAAACTGCTGCGACAGGTTCTTGAGGGCTTCAACCACGTCCCCCCCTTCTGACAAAGCAGTGCGCACACCTTGAATCTGCTGCGGTGTAGCGTGTAACGTTCCTTGAAGTGTGCACTCTGGTCATTTGTTAGCAGTTGCTATGGAAAATCGCAATTTTTATTGGTAAGTCTATAAGTGCGCCATGTTCATCCATGTTCCATAGCTATGTGCTAAACCTCATAATTGGTGAGTTGCATGGCCAGTGAATCAGGTCGCATAGAAAATGTGGCCAGCTCCATGCATGGACGACCCATCGGTTACCGGATTTTTTTATAACCTACCAACATCCACCCAAACAGTACTGTACTTTATTACAGTAGATTCCTCTATCTCTCCCATGTTTCCTGTCGAACTCCTCATGTTGGTAGAAATAATCTGTTCAACATCCACATGGAGGGTTTCAATGTCATGGAGGTACCCCCTCAATCATCCAAAATCAGACCATGACTTAGTATTGAAACCCATGGTGATCCCTCATGAAAAAAACAACCCCACCACTTGTGGTGCATGCAAGTGTCCATGTGTAATCCTTATTGCATTGGCGATTGGCAATGGGAAGAACTCGCGTCATGGCGCCAGAGAGGGAGTCGATGCCACTGTTGGGCACGACCTTTCTGTATAACACTGGTGGCGGCGGCAACAAGAAGGAGCTGAAGCTTGGAAACCTCCGGGCTTGCACGAAACCATGCAAGGAACCCACCATTTTCCTCTTTTGTTAAAGGTCATTTCGCCCATAACCACTCTTCACAATGGAGGTGAGGCCTGAAGCAATGCGGATTAGGGTCGTCCTCCAAGCGTTCCTGTTGCCCACAACAACTTTGTGCTGCTCGCACCATGCTGGGTAATTCATGACATTTCTGACTCCATTACCAGGGTTTCTCGCAAATTAGCAAAAGCACCAAAATCCACTGGTTCAGAACATCAGCTTTTTTATTCAAATAAATTCAACCGGCAATTTCTTGGTGATTGCATATTCAATTTTTGGCCAAAGCAAAGTCACATCAAGTTGGTGAATCCCATGAACAACTCCCATAGAATACCCTCTGGTAAACTAACAGTTTGCTTTGGAAAATCACCATATTGAATGGGCAAATCAACTTTAAATGGTCCATTTTCAAGAGCTATGTTAGTCATTACCAGAGGGTACCATAATAATGAGGTTTCATCCCCTTTTTCCGCCGCGGCATCGGCTTCTTCGGCTTCTCCGGCTTCTCCCTCCACACGCCGCCGCAGCGACGGCAGAGAAGACTCCACCTGGTCCACGAAGGTGCGTTTGCCTCGGGGTCTGGCGACGACCATTTTTGTTTTTCTTTGCTAGAAATGATAATTATAGCGGATCAATATGGGATCCATATGCGATCTATATGGGATATATATTTATATATGGGATCTATATGGTATCTATAGGGGATCTATATGGGATCTATATGGGATATATATGGGATATATATATATATGGGATCTATATGGCATATAATGTGGGTAAAACACATAAACCACCCATGACTGGGAATTGTAACCATACCACCATTGGGGGATCTATGATTATTTGTGTAGAGACTGTTGTTGAAACTAAACATGTTTGGAATTGGGTTGGCATTATCCGGTTATGAGCCAAGTCGATGGGGCACCAACTGTGACACTTTGAGGATCTGAAACCATCCATTTTCATGCCCGGATTTAAATTACTTTTCCAGCAAATGTTGAGCGGATGCATCCAATTTGATTCCATGATATTCCCATAGCATTCCCATACGGGTCCCTTGGATGTCCCCGGTTATTTCTAATAATGTATCATTGAATCTATATAGTATATAGGAGCCCCTATATACTGGGAAAATATCCGGATAAATGACCATGATTCACCAACTTTATTTCATAAGGTTGGGGATGATTTCCCTTTTCAATTCATCTACAGCAGCTCACACCGATTGTGCCAATCATTTTCAAATAATGATTTCCCTATGGAATCCTAACGCTGCGGTAACAATATAGTCCCATGAAACCAACAAATGGCGGGTCAAAATTAGGTTCCCCAACAATTGGATGCTTATACTATGTTATAAGTAAAAATGACCGGTCAATCTGCGGCTTTCTTGGCCTTCAAGTCATTAATTAATGTGGGTAAAACAATGCCATACACCACCCATTTGGGAATGGTAAACATACCAACTATTTACAGTATGGTGATTTGGGGGATGGTTTATGGCATTATTTTACCCACATCAATTACCCAAATAAATGCTCCAGCTCCGGCTCCGAGTTGCGCGCCACTTGCTCGCCCAGCTGTTGCAGCAGCAAGACCTTGGCCTCTCGCTGCCGCAACAAGCGCAGGAGGCCCGAGAGGTTCTTTAAGACGTTACCTCAGGGGCATGATCAAACGTGGATGCGACATGCGCGACTTGTGGGAAAATAAACCCTGGTTGGTAGCCCCAAGGAACCAGTGGACTATCCATGATTACATGTGATTATCCCATAAATGGGTTAACACCGTAACCCCAGTCAATCCCCAGTTACCAATCACTTACCAAGTGGGTTGATCCTCTAAGTAGGGGTTCTCGTCATGAAAATGTGGCTTATCCCCATGGATTATATAAAATGGAGATGAGATAGATATGGCTGTCACTGAAATTTGTGCATACTACATACCCCATACTTGCAATGCTTATGGAGAAATAATGATCAATCATCAAGCTTCACAGGACAGCATTTTTAATTAAACCAATATGATCATAGTGACCTATCAGTGCAAATCATAACCCATGTTTAGATGAAATATGATGAAATCGATCAAATTCGTATTTTACCCCCTGGCAATCACCCCCCCCATTTATAATGTTCCCACTGAAACCTCCATTGAAAGCCGAGGTTTCCCAGCTCTTCCCAGCCAGGGAAAATGGCGAGCTTCTGAAGTGGCGCAAGCGACTTGGGACTTCACCAGGCTCCGAACAGAAGCCATCCTCTGATGTGGGAACTGTGGCTCGCAAGAAAAAATACGCAAGATCAACTTATTCAGCTAAAAACTACCCTACACACACATAGATATATATATAATATGTATATATATATATGTATATATATATATATGTATATATATATATATGTATATATATATACATATACAGTATATATAAATCTCAGGAGGAAAAAAGGATGCTGCACTCTGGATACTGGATACAACTGGGTAGCATTATCATTCTGGCTGGTAAGTATAGGTACCGGTCACCCAGCCCATCGTCCCCGAGCCATGGCTGCCATGGCACCAGCAGCTCCAGACTGGCGCTTTGCAGCATTTCCTGCAGCTTCTCCAATTCGTTGGTCAGCGGTGCTTCTGGGTTACCTCCAGATTTGTGAACTTCCGCCATTTCCCACTGGATTTCCCACTGGAGAGACTTCTCGGAGGCAACATCTTTATGAGAAAACACATGAAAACATTTTGGAAACACCGAAATATACTTGGAGGCAACATCTGTTATATGAAAACATCTGGAAACACCATATGTTTTACTTGGCATACAGAAGGAGAGATGTAGATTCGACAGGCCCTGGCCACAGAAGACCAAGGAGACCTCAGAGACCTCAGAGACCTCAGAGTGCATAACAGGCATTACACGCACCAGGTTGCAAAGCCATTCATCTGCATCCAATGGCATTGGTTTGGGTCCAAATCGTTGAGGTTCACCAAACACCTTAGCTGAACGAGTAAACCCTCTGCATCACAGCAGTGCACTGTGGATTGTCGGGGTTTGCCTGAACGGAGGGCAACAGTTACATGCATTGGTTAATCATAGGTGTCCTATTAACATTGCCATAGGTTGTCGGTTGTGTTCTGGTAAACATACAAAAACTATGGAAAGATCCACCATTTGTAGCTGGGTAAATCCACTATTTCTATGGCCATGTTCAATAGCTTTTTGTATGTTTACTAGGCAGGGTACATACATTTACCCTCTGGTTATGACTAACAGTTTGCCATGGAAAGATCCACCATTTTTAAGAACGGTAAACCATCTATTTCATTCTATTTCTATGGGTCATTTCCCATGGCTATGTGACAAATAACCAGAGGGTAAATTCCATGAAACCACGGCTACATGTTACCAAATATTGCTCCAGCGGTTATGACATGAACCCATACTGAAATATATCCTATCCGAAAGTGAAACCACATGTCATACTGAATGAAATATGAATTATTTGGCTATGGGTCAAAAGCCTGGTATCCTGGAAACTGCCCAGGTGATACCTCACCGGCCAGGCGGCAAAGACCTCGTTCTTTGGAGGCCGCGGGGGGGTCACCAAAACTTCACCTAGGCACCGATGTGGAAACTGGAGATATGGGAAGAAACTGATGTGCATTGGAAGCTTCTAGCAAGGAGGCAACTCCAAGCTTTAGACAATGTTCTGAGAAGTGTGATTTTACATGATTTTACCATACTTTACATTGGAACTTTGAAAAAGAGCTACGTGGATCACGCCTGCTGAGCTTTTTGTGTTGCAAGGGTTTTGGGGCTGACAGCATCGATGGGAACAGGCTACACCCATGGGTGTCACTGGCAAGAGTGACACACCCCAGAAAATAAGACAAAATTCAAGACATAATCAAGGAAAGCCAGGTCGCTGACAAGGGTATAAGAAAGCTTTTGAGGTTCCGGACAATCCTTCATCATTATTTCGGGCAAATCATGTTACAGTAAATTCTTATTGCTGGTTTAAGTCCCCATTAAATATAGCATCGAAACCACAGTGGTTTCGTCATGGTGGGACTTGGGGCCTTGGGGGTGTGATCCGCACCCAGCGGCTGTCGGGCTGAAAGAGACGCCACTGCGGCGGAGGCGGCAGAAAGCTGATGGAGACATCCGTGCGCCGGGGCCTGGGAGTTCGCAGGAAATCCGAATGATTTCAGGGGAAAGGATATATAAAAAGGAAATATAGTAAGGATGTATGTATGTATGTATGTATGCATGCATGCATGCATGTATGTATGTATAAATTGGTAATGGCCAGAAATGAGCATGTCTTTTCTCTATGTCTTTTAAGTGTATGTATATATGTGTGTATATATATATGCAAAATATATTATATTATATTATATGTGTATATGTGTGTCTGCGTGTGTGTGGGTTAATTCTAACCTGAAGAAGTTGAAACATGAGCCCAAGGGTAATGGATACTCTCATGTAATTGCACCATTTTTACCCACAAAACAGTAGTTACTCAGTTACTCTCCGGTTGGAGTTAGCGATCTTGAAGGTCCTAGCACACTCCGCAGCCGGACAACTTCATGGATGTCATCCGAGAACACCCAAATCAATGCACATGGCGCCCCAGCTCTAAGTGAATACACTTAGCCTTACCAGCACTGGTTGGTGGTTTCAACCCATCCCAAAGCTGCATGTAATATAATTTCTGTATATAATGTAATGTAATGCAATGATATGCAATGCATGGAAGTGTTGGTAACGGAGGGTCATCATTCCAAATATGATTGGCCATGAAAAAACACAAACGTCAAGCCACCATCTAGTTCTAATGTGTTGCTGGCAGAGTCCCCAACCAACCGCAACGAAATCATGGAGAACATTCATCATCCCCATTGCCACAGCTCCCACCATCTGCCATCATCAAGTCATGCGTCAAGTTCCGCGCCATCCGAGCCCGGGGATCTGAGCCAAAGTCTGCACATGTGAAAAAGATATGGCCAGATTTGGGAAGATAAATTGGTGTGCAATATCTGGTTATTAAAGTGGTTTGGGTATACTTAAATATCATTGAAGCATATTGAAGCTAAATGGGTCTAGATATTCAAGTACGTTGAAGTATACCCTCTAGTACTCAAACATCACAGAGCTGATTCTACACCTGATGTGTGCTACAAAAGGCTGCTTTTATGTTGGGCGTTTCATCTTGGCGCTTTCACCACCATTTTCAGATGATGTCCACAGATGTCCAGTCCGAAAAAAAGGAAGATTTTCCACAGGGCAAACCGCACGGCAAACCATCCCAATACATTCCCAATCTTCCCAGCGCAATGATATCAACCATCAAGAATCGATGCTGATTTTCGCTGATTTTACCGGTTTACCTATAAGTTTGATTGCTGGTTGGTGGTTGACCTACCCCTCTGAAAAATATGAGTTCGTCAGTTGGGATTATTATTCCCAATATGGAAAGTCATTAAACATATTCCAAACCACCAACCAAATGGAAAAGTCCCAGTATACGTGTCAGCAGTGCCGCGTTAAATACCACATGAAATCATGACAACAACAGCCACTCGGGGAACTCCGCGCAGAGAGGGGGTACCCCGTGCCCCTCGTCGCCATCGGCCGATGAAATGTTGCACGCCTCATTCAGAGTTTCCAGGTGGACTTTGGATCATTTGGGGATTCGGATATTCAAAGATTCAAAGAGATTAGATACTGGTTGGTGGTATACCTACCCCTCTGAAAAATATGAAAGTCGTTTTTTTTCTCCTTATTATTCCCAATATATGGAAAGTCATTAAACATATTCCAAACCACCAACCAGGATGAGATGAGCATCATTCCAAAATGGCCATGTCAATCATGCCATTCCAATCAGGTGACTCCAGCTGGGATGATCCTATATGACCTATATCAAACTGGTGATTTTCCAATAGCACAGCTATAGTTTACCAGAGGGCTAACCGGCTAACCCCGACCCCACCACCATTCCACCGTTGGGCTTTTTGTTTTGCCGCAGCTCTGCCAGTCTCTCTATCCGGGCGCTGCGACGCTGGGACGCCTTGGCCAGCTCGACTGCTCAGCGTCGGTAGCGCCAACGCTTCACGTTGAAGTACAACTGCAGAACCCCACGGTCAAAGACCACGCGGAAGCCGAACCTGGAGTCAGTTTGAGCTGCTTTGAATGGGTCACTTTGGCACGAAATTTGGCAACACATATATATGGAAGAGCTAAACAAAATCCAAAGCCTATCAACAAGAACCGCCAAAAGTGCAAACAAAAATAGATCATCAAGGACTCAAGGACTGCTATTGGAACTGAAGAGCGACAGGAGACTTGGCTACTTGCAATCCACTGGAAACGTTTCTACAGAGAGCCCTGAAATATCCTGAACTGTTCCCTAGACCATGCTAGATAGAGAGAGGCCGCCATCACCCGAGGAAAAAACATAGTTTGACAAGTTGTCAGTAGGAGATATAAGCGGATGAATAAGATTAAAGTGGACAGAGGTCAACATATATGTCAACCGCATCACTTGTTTAAGAACCAAGTCCTCTTATACAATACAATGTAGAGTTGGCGGGAAGGTTTATACGGAGCAATGTCCGAAAGCTTCTCTGGGTGTTTGTCTTGACTCCCTGCAGGGATCATAGTTAGTTCAAGTTTCAAGAACTTGCCGAACGCCAGATACAAGGGGAGGAACATAGGATAACATGGGCAAATAAAGAAGATAATGGCGCACAAATAAATGAGGTCAATTGCCCTTTTCCAACAATTATTGAAACATGTTGTGCTGGAAACGGTTCTGCTTTAGCTTTTTCAACCACACAGGGCTTGAAAACTCGAAGTTTAGTTGGCACGGTCAACAGGCTCCCAAAAGGGCGCAAGTTCGTTCATCTTTGAGCCGTGGCTACAAAATATTTCGGAGCATCGGAGAGGGGTCGCAGCCATTTGGAGGGCAGAATCATTGAAACCATCTTCCAAACACGCCTTTTGGGGTTGACAAAAATAGTTCAGGGAGAACTACCCCTCATGCATTCTATGGTCACTGGTCTTGCTAGTATTGCCGAGGGGCTTGTGGGAAAGGTTCCACTCGCGGTTTACGATCTTGAAGGCGACATCCTGAAAGCGTGCACTGCTGATGGGCTCACACTTGACAAATGCATGTCAAAATACGCGAAGCATCTCCGGAAAAATATGTGATGTCCTGTTCTTTCCTAGGCTTCCACAACAAAGTATTTGATTTAACTGGTTGTGAATGGTGCCACCAAAGTTTTACGAGATGTTTTTGAAGTTTCACCAAAGGTCAACCATTGCTTCAACGAACTTGAAACGTCAGGAAAATCACACATACATCTGTGTTTGATTCCCCTGCAGCAGCAAAGCCTACCATGTCCCACAAAGACAAATGGATGGACAAACTACTTTGCCAAAAATGCATGCCCCAACATTGCAATAGTAATCATGATGAAATTGCATAACTACAAGCCACTGGATGTTTTCTCTCGGTTTGTTGGCAAACTAATACAATCATACCCATGTATTATCTGTTCGTCAATGAACTGTCAATGAAAGCCAAAGATCTGGAGAAAAACCTGGCTGACATGATCCATGTCGAACTTCGGGAGGCATCCTTTAGCTTCATCTCCACAGAATTCCGCATGTCCCAGTGCCAAACAATCTTGAACTTTATCAAGCTGGCTAGGTGATGTTTCCAGCTGAGCAAAATGGACAAACCCAGCTCACCATTCAGCATTCTACTGGAACATTACCCATTTAAAATAAAGATGTAGAATCATATTCAATCAACATTGCGATGTCTGTTGCTTTATCAAATGACTTATGTTTATACACACTTGAGTATTTACATAGATACCTATATCTATACATATATATATATATGTTGTTATAATATATATATATTGTTACTATATACTATCATATATATATCTATGCGTGGCAATCATAGCTTAGCTGGATTGAAAATCACAATTTCACAATTTCCCATCCATTTGGGCTACCCCCATTTATGGAAACCCCCATTTAGGGGTGCCTCATACGGTGGTCCGGCGCTGAATCGCAGCATCACCTGGGTCCATGGACGAAGAAATCCAAAGTGATTGGGATTTGATGTGGTAAACCCAATAGTAATAAACACTAATAAACCTACCATTTGGGGGGATGGCTTATACAACCCATAACTTTATGGTGATTTTGGGGATGGTTTATGGTTTTGGGGTTTGCCAAATATTAATCCTATCCACCGTTCTTTTTAGTTCCGCTCACATTGTATGGTCCCAAAGATGTGCAAATCATCCTGGGGGTGCAGTTCTTGAACGGGTTTATATCCCAACATATTCCAACTTTATGAAGGTCACACATGGTCGTGGTGACACTAATTAGCATTGTCGTATCACCTAAAATATTCATCAAACAAAAACTCCCAACTGCAGCCCACAGTATGGAAATTTCCTCTAAGATGTCCCTTGAACAAAGTCTTGCAATGATGACACAGGGATTGCTATCATTCAGTGAGTTCAGGCATGAAATTGTAATAGTTCAGGATAATCATTAGTCAGAATTTTGAAAATGAAATCCAAGGGTCAAACATTTTCCAAACGTAGCAATTGCAGTGGGGCCCATCCTCCCGTATGATATGGAGAAATGGACAAATCCTGTCTTGAACAATAAACATTCACTACACGCATGTTGCTGCAGGGCAGCTTGCCAGCATGCGTATCATGAGAATATCAGAACGACATCACGACATGACTATGTTTCTTCATGCAAAAATTAAACGCGTATCGGTTCGTAATTCAATGTAATTTATGTAGTATATGCATGCCGTGTATTTGCCAATGATCACATATTTCACATAAATTTGCAAATTGATCATGTGACTTAATTCTAAAACCTGTGCGAAGCTGGCACTATATGTTTCGCAAAGAATATTGGAGATGGTCATGTATTTGCTTGGGGACAAGCTCAAAAAAATAAACATAAAACATATTCCCACTAGATTCCTCAAATGGCAGATTCACCAATTGAAAAATCAATAACCACCTTAAGTCATTGGGTATTTTTGGGGATTAGATACCCTCTGGTATCCTCCGGTTAATTTAGCATGTAGCTAAGCATAGATGGCCTATTTAGTTCGATGATTTACCGATAAAAAAACATCTGATTTTTCCATGGCAAGCTGTTATTCATTACCAAAGGGGCATTGGTATGTATCCCAGATGCCTCCTGTATGGTATATTTACCTACAAAACTGGGTGATTTTGGAGGTAACTTTTGAAACATATTTCATATATATATATATGGTTGGTGGTTTGAACCCCTCTGAAAAATATGAAAGTCAGTTGGGATGATGACATTCCCAATATATCGAAAAATAAAATTCATGTTCCAAACCACCAACCAGATATATATATATATATATATAATGGAGCAAAGGGTACTGGTGATAATTCAGCCGTAACCAATGGGAATTCTTGCTGGTTCCCACAACCAGCCCCTACCAGCCCCTACCTACTGACCCCCCTGACCCCCGGGTTCCCTGACCGTGTCGGCCGTGTCGGATTTCTCCACGTAGTAGGTGGGAGCCTTGGCCTTGTCGATCAGGTCCGGGTAGAAGATGTTGAACTTGTAGCCTGGAGGATCGATGAAATCCAAATGAATTACGTAGCGACGTAGTTCATCATCACACACGTACACAAACAGAAAAACGCAAATAGCGTGCATAAATAGAACTATATATATATATATCAATATCGATACAAGCCTATAAATATAATTAAAATTATGTATATATACACACTGTATGTAAATATATATATATATATAAATATCTGTGTGTGTCTGTGAGTATCCATCATGAATTCATGTAGCAGGCAAGATGGAAAGACTGAGTGTATGTCAACCAACCAATCTGATCGTTCTTCTCCTACAAGGAGTCACTTCTTCAGCAATCTCTCACTCAATCGCCAGGCCTCCCCGCCCGAGCTAAATATTTACATGCACCTTCTGGTACTTCAACACAGCTATGGAAAATGGACCGTAGAAAAAGTATGATTTACCTATTGACATGATGTTCAATGGCTATGTGAAATTACCTATCCGGGTATGCCAATTTGCTTGCCCATTCATCTCCATTACCCTCTGGTAAACTAACATAGCTATTGAAAATGGCCATTTATAGTGGATTTTCCCATTAAAAATGGTGATTTTCAATAGCTATGTTAAATTACCAGAGGGTATTTATCCCCTACTGTTCAGGTACCGCAATGGCTCCATAGGATGAACATGGGATTATCATCCCAATCGTTGGAAGATGATGTTAAGTGTCAAGTAGCCATCGTTGGGTACCAACCACTTTTACCATTTTTTATATATGTTACCCTCTGGTAATTTAACAATATATTGAACATTGCCCATTTATAGTTGATTTACCTATTAAAGATGGTTATTTTCCATAGCTATGTTAGTTTACCAGAGGGTATATCAGTGATATCCCATGTTTTATGGATGGAAATCAACACCAAGAAAATTTCGCCAGTCGGATCAGTTCCAGCAATTTCCCTGCGGGTATGATGGATCTCCAGCCGGAACTTAAAACAATGACACCTCATAGACATATATAGTCATCCGGGAGTAGAACATGGATAGACTACACACATTTCAACATCATCAAAAACAAGTGAATAGTCTGTGGAATTTCTATAGTATCTACATCAGGATGACTTGTATTCGAATATATTCGGACTGCGACATCCTTCAATCCCACCTTGCACGATCTTGGGTGGTGGATTGTCATGATCGTAGTGCGTCTGGTTGTACTTGTTCCATTCAAAGCCCGTCTTCACACGGTTGAAGAACCGCGGCTTTCCTTGGCATTGCGTGACTCGTTCAGGACCCCTCAACAACAAAATGATGTCCAGTAGATTTTGGCGGATTTCCATTATTTTTCTTGGATTTTGCACCATTTCCAAGTTGGGCCTCCACTTGAATCAACCAACATGCTGTCTGAATTCACCCAATCAACCAACCGAAACCAATCAAGACGTCCAGGTTTCGGGGCTTGTACTTGTCCTCCCATTCGTAGCGCTTCTTGTCCAGCATCACCTGCCAACGAGTGGGAGGGACCCGCTTTTACCCGGGTCGGCAGGGTTGATGAAACCCTCTCCAAATTTACATCGGATGCATTGAGCAAAGAAATAACAGTACTGTAGGTACAAGCCACTATTTTCTGAGCAATCAACAGTGGTATGCTATCAAAAGCTCAAATTGGTGCCATTTTCTTCATCATGATTAATCATCATTATTAAGCATGTTTTATCAGTATTCGCCATCATTCAGCACTATTACCGAAGGGTCATATATAGTACAGTATATGATCCAAAAAAACAGTACTGTAGGTATAAGCCTGTATAAGTCACTATTATATATCTATCAAACATACACTGCATAACCACTTGTTTGATCTATTATAAACAGTCCTGTAGGTATAAGTCACTATTGTACACTATAAATACTATACCAATTGTATATATTATCCATTAGATCTGTTATAACCATATTATAACCATATTAGAAGTACACTATCTATTTTATCCACATATTCTAACCATATTATATCTAGTATGATTAAGTATGTATAAGTGACTCTTGTTCTATTTCTATTATAACCATATCTGGTTGGTGGTTTCAACCCCTCTGAAAAATATGAAAGTCAGTTGGGATGATGACATTCCCAGCATATGGAAAAATAAAAAAATGTTCCAAACCACCAACCAAATATAGTGACTATTAAATATCTATTGATGTATACCCAGTGGTAAACTAACATAGCTATGGAAAAGCACCATTTTTAATGGGTAAATCAACTATAAATGGGCCTTTTCCAATAGCTACGTTAAATTACCAGAGGGTTCCTATTATAACCAATCCACAGTAGCCGTGCGCCTCGCCGTGGAACTCCGAGTCGTCGCCCTTGCCCGCGGCATTGAAGGCCACCTGTGGGTGACATGGATTGGGGGTACCTTTTTTCCGGTAACATTTATCATCCGGGAAATCATAATATTAATGGGTAATAACACATAACAATACATAATTATGATAAATGCTGGAGAATACTAATTATGAATTTTGGGGGAATCATGATAGATAATAATAGTAATGACTATCAGCCAAATGCGGCACGGTGAACTTTGCATGACTAAGCACGAATCCGACTCAGCAGCTTGCAAAATAATAGTAATGATAGGGAATAATGAAAATAATAAAAATAATGGGGAATAATGATAATTATAGTAATGATACAATTAAAATAATAATGGGGAATAATACAGAATAATTATGATACATGCTGGATAATAAAAATACAAGCCATACGGATGATGTTAGTAATAATAATAATACATGTATAAATAATGAGGACTAATAAATATGATTAATGATGGGAATGAAGGATGGAACCATGGATGAGCTTTTGATGACCATGGGGGGTAGCCTTCATCTTAACCAATAGTGGCTCCCAAACATGAACTCCCACGAATTTTTACCAGACCTCCTGAACGAAACCTTGATCTTAGTATTGGAATGTATTGGATCCGGGTATTTTTGAGGGCTCAGTCATGGAGATCATTTAATACTATATACATTGGCTATATCCCATTGTTTCAGGATGGTTAAAAACCATATTAAAGCACATGTTTGATGCTGAAGCCACCATTTTGATGGGATGAACAGCAACCGTGGTTGCCAATATCCCCATTCTATTAATTCTCTCACATCCCATTGTACCACCACCTTTCCTCATTTTCGATGGTGATTGTCATATTCCCTTTCATAAAATTCCAGAATTACAAAATTCTTAATAACCGTTATATCAACATTACTATAATTAAGCATGATCAAAATTGCTATAATTACTAGAACATTATAATTCTTAATAAATCACCAATATTAGGCTTGTGATTATCATGCTTCCAGGCTAATTAAAACGAACCTTATAGAGGAAATATTGCCATGGTAGTGGCATATCAAAATACTATTAACAACGGTATGGAATACATAGTGGTTCCGTTGTAAGGACATACCGTGTCTATCCTTTTGTTATTTTGATATATTTTAATTACAATACATTTAGTTACCACACCTATTGTGAGAATTAAACCTGCTTATCCTTTTTTATGGTAATATATTAAATTGTATGTTAATTAATACCATAATTACATACCATTCTGATCAAACAGTTCCAATATTAATATTAACAAATGTAATAATTAGTGTTACTACTACACATCATGTTACACTAATTGTGATCATAGTCATAACCTTCATGCTACCAAATTTGATGTTAGGGAAGCACTGATGAACCAGCATATAAATTGATGGTTTGTACAAGCCATTTATGGAAACAATTGGGGATGGTGGGTCCTAGTACTAATGATTTAGGAACAAAACTTGGGCCATTTGAGATTATTGGTTCTTATTGGTGATTATTGGAAATTATTTTGATTACCCTCTGGTAAACTAACATAGCTATGGAAAATCACAATTTTTAATGGGAAAACTCACTATAAATGGCCATTTTCAATAGCTATGTTAAATTACCAGAGGGTACAATAATTGCCAACAATGCCCAATAATTGCCAATAGTCACCAGTTATCATGAATAATAAAACAACATAAACGTTATATCCTATAGTTATTATCCCTAATAGTTGATATTACCTCATTATTATCATCCCATATATTAATCAGATTATGGTAATGACAATACATGATCATGTTCATGTCAATTGACAATTCTTTTATGGTACTAATACTGGTATATCATTTAATACCATACCAAACCCCAAAATGGTGTATTAACATTTCCCATCCTAATAGTGGTATATTAATTCTATACTTAAATTAAAAATGGGATATTCATATATATATATATACTCATACATATGTCAACTAATATTGTGGACCTGGTAATTAATACCATGATCATGTGAATTATTGATGATTATATCAACATAATGACTGTTTAGCAGTCAACATTCTATTATTGATTGGTTATTGAGCGGATGTTGATTGATACTGATTGACTAAGTAGTTTGTTATTGATTGATTATTGATTGAATACTGATTGAGGACTGATTGATTATTGATTGAAAACCAGCTTAAAACCTGCCATGCACACGCCTCGCCGGAGCCCATGCCCTTGGCCCGCTCCGCCGCCAACAGTTCGTCGTCGCCTCGTCGTGCTGCGGGAAGCTGCGGGCTGCGGCGCGGGGGAGGTGAAAGGACAACCAAAAAAGGGGGGACTGCAGCAGGAAAACTATGGAAAACTTGGATTTGAGTAATTTATGGTGATTTATATCACGAAAAAGTGGGATTTCAAATGATACTAAACAGATGCAAATGTGGATTACATCTTGAAACACGGTGCTTGACCAGCTTAATTTGGGATTTCACCACAGAAAAGTGGGATTGAAAAAAAAGCAAACGTCAGTTACAAATCAGAACGCTACGACCTTATGCCTTAACATACTTTAACATACCTTTAAAACACACTACAGCATCCCCAGCAATGAACATGAAAGGATTGCTTTCTCCGCTTTGCCAGGTTGGTCTACTGTTGGGCTCGCTGGACGAAACCAATTCCTACATGCTGCCATAGGCCTGTTCCTACCCTCTGGTAATTTGTTACATAGCTATTGAAAATGGCCCATTTATATCCATTTATAATTTATAGTTGATTTACCTAGTAAAGATTGTGATTTTCCGTAGCTATGTTCGTTTACCAGAAGGTAAATGGTTTAAACAAACATCAGACTGAAAACCTGCAGGATGCAAAAGGAAACCCCAACAATGAGCTGTTTGTTGACGCATGCTTTACTCATTGCCAATGTTAGGTAACCTGCATTGTTGTTAGCTGGCTGCATTACTATATACCCGTACATGGCACAAGATTCAAATATTTAAACTACCCAAACCACAAGTGGGCTGAACAATATAAACCCATTATTTCTTGGCTAATATCCCCATGATTGTAGCTAATATATCTATTGTTACTTGTTAAAATACCCACAAGGTTGAACATCCACCAATAATTAACCCTAATACCAAATCTACCCAATTCACTAACGACATCTTAACGAGTAACCACATCATTACATTGTTGTTTTTTCAGCATTGTTGATTGCTAATTCATGTCAAGCCACCATATGTTCATGGACTTGAACCTAATGTTAACCTTTGTTAAGGCAACCCTTCATCAGTCGGTTTAACCCTTCACCCAAATTATTTTTCTTCGTTGAAGCTACCCCAGATCTTGACACCTCTCCATTCACAATATTGAGCTCATTTGGGTCCGTCTAGAAATGGGGTATTGCCCCCATTTTTTAGAAACTAGAAACTCATGATTAACCGTGTGGATTGAGGGGTACATTGTTTTCGGACAAACCCGTTTGTGTCAGGTCGGGTTGTTCTCCCATTCTTAAGGTCGAAAAACATGAAACCTCTATATGTTTTTTTTTTTAAATTCATCCAGATATTCAACATGATTTAACCATATTCGATGGTTCATTCCCATTATGTTACCCTCTGGTAAACTAACATGACTATGGAAAATCACCATAGAAATAGTGAATTTTCCCATGAACAATGGTGGATCGTTCCATCGTTTTTTGTTCACGTTTACCAGGCCGGGTAGATGATTTTCGTGGGGTTTTCCAATGGGTTTTCCACATGGCAGCGTGTCAAAACCTTGTACCCCTTTTGTTCACATCAAAATAGCTGGTAAATGGATGTTCATCCCACTAAAAATGGTATTTTTATAGGTATTGATCCATAGCCACACCATGCCACATCTGACGACCAGGTCTGTTTCCAAGGAACGGCTGCGGTCGATGGACTGGGACGTGGTCGTGGAAACGGCACCACCTGGGCGGAGCAGGACGAAGATGGGGGCCGCCCTAACTGGTTGGTGGTTGGTTTCTACCCCATGGTTATTAATAGTGGTTAATAGTGGTTAATGATGGTTAGTAGTGGTTAATGATGGTTAATCATTGATGAATTATGGCTGGTTGGTGCTTTCAACCAACCCCTCTGAAAAATGATGGAGTGAAAGTCAGTTGGGATGATTATATATTCCCCATATATGATGGAAAAATAAAAATCATGTTCCAAACCACCAACCAGTGAATGGTTGAACCATGGTAGGAACTATTCATATTCCATTCGTGAAATATGAATGGCTCAACCAATATATCCTAGTTTTTTTATTAATAGAATTTAGAATATTGGTTGATACCCAGCACATGATGAAAATCGTGGTGATTGATGGTCATTACCTTCCGATGTCGAACACGGCTGAGAAATCCTCTATAAATGGCGGATTTTCCGGCAACCATGTTTGATTACTGTTGGGCAATTGGGATATTTCAAATATATTTAAGAATCTTGAGTTTCACATAGTTTCACTGTTCATTCTAGGTATTCACATGGGGATCTCATCAAAATTGATAGAAATTCTGGATTTCACCATTTTTTTGGACCAAGCCGTTGGAGAATCTCCCCTGGGAGTTTGGATCGGTGATGTATCCCATGCCAATGACCAGTTCGGAACTGTGTTTCCCAAGGTCCTGAAACTAATTTGCCATTTACCCGGCCTGGTAAACTAAGAAAGGTATTGACAAGTGCCATAGAAATAGTGGATTTGCCCAGCTATAAACTGGTGGATCTTTCCATAGTTTTTTGTTAACGTTTACCAGGCCGGGTAAATCAAATTTGGAGACCAAAGATGCTGCGCTGGAAAAATTCATCTGGAACATCCCGTCACCAGGAGCTGCGTATTGACTTCCAATATCCACTAGTACAGGTTCATTGGCACTGGCTGGAAAGGAAATATGGCAAACACGACAACTCTGACAGTACTTCATAGCCTAGGCCTAGCCGTATATATATTTGTTGGTCAGATTGTCAGATTTTGGCCATTGCTTTTTCAGAGAAATTTCCGTGACAACGCCTCACCCCAAAAAGAACCAGCATCCTCCCACTTCCCGTGGGCATCCGAACCAAAAGCTTCAATGATCGTGTTTCGCACCTGATCTCTGCCGATGCTTTTGCCCCTTAATTTGGATTTTCCGGCCATGTTTGTATTACATGTACTGAAGATTACTGAGGTGCTCATCCAAATATCAACAAAAGTTCAAGGATCATCCCAACACCCCAAATACACAACTATTTCCAACATGTCGCCCCCTTGTGGCTATCATTTCCCATGGATCAATGGCTTGGAGATGCTTGGAGCACCCCTGGTTCTGTGCATAGCGGATTGTCCAATCTTAGACATGTATGGCTTTTCTTCACCTTCAAGATATCTGGCCCACAGGTCAGGGCGAGAGACATGCCCAACATGGAGGAAAGAAAGAGGCATTGAGAATCATTGAGATATATCGAGATGATTGATGCTTCTCGGGTTTCTGGTTCCATCTGATGCCCCACAATTATCAATTAACTAGGGTGATCGGAAATAGGAATGGTTAAAGCACAACGACTACATATTTGAAAACGTTTTGAAACCACCAGCCAGTTGTTGACTCGCATCCACCTTCTTCATTTTTGGTTGCGACAAAGCTGGATGCTGAAGCTCCCCATTTTCCCTGGCCTGTCGCAAGACTCGAAGGTCCTGGGCGGTCGAAAAGGAAGTGAATGTGTCGGACGTACCCTCTGGTGAACTAACATAGCAATGGAAAATCACCATTCTTAATGGGAAAATCCGTGAAAACCCACTATAAATAGTCATTTTCCATTGCTATGTTAGTTCACCAGAGGGTAATCACGTAATCCCATCCCCCATGGTGATCCTATGTGATTCTGATGCTATGATCCCAACAATCCGCATGCAATCGTCATAATGTTATGATTCTCATTGTAATCCCAGTAATCCCATCCCATGGTATACGGTCATTGGGAATCATTGGGATGAAAAAAAGGTGGCAATTTTCATCACGGTTCCTGGGTGTGGGAAATCCGATGGGAGAATCCAACATTGGAAGCACACGTCTACAGAAAAAAACTACAGCAACCCGGATAGAAAGGTGGGAAACTTGGAAATGTGAGGTAAATATGATGTAACATATCATCTATAACATCCTGGAAACACGTTTCGACATCTTCTTTTGGCTGATGCTATTTCATTATGTGCAGGTCATTTTCACATCCTTCCCATTCGGTCCTCATCTGGATCCAGCAGGTCTTCTGGGTGGTACTTGCCTCGTGGCAGTCGTCTCGTTTCACTGGTCTTCCAACCTTTCCAAATGAGGGCCGGTTGGGTCCAAATTAGCAAAACACATGGGCCCCAAAAAACATCATGTCACCTCCGGATTGGAAGTTCCTCCAACTAGTGATTTGCGATTAAAGTGGTACTAGCCCATTTAAAAAACAAACCAACACTCTCGGGGCTTCAGCAAAATCCATGCTACAGCTCAGGATTACCACGAACCTGGAGGGCAAAAGATGTATTTAAAGCAACAACCACATATTATGATTAATATATATATAATCTATTTTGGTACAATACTTAATATATCTTAATATCGTAGTCTATTATAGTATATTATAAAATATGATGAATACTAATCCATTTAAGGTCAAATCACCTAGCGCAGCATCCAAGATATCCAAGGCTTCCCCAGCTGCGCTCATCTAAGGCACTGAGAGGTTCAAGCACTGGACTGTAAATCCCAGTGTCCTGTGGCGGAACTGGGGAAGGCCTGGCGATCTAACTTTGCTGGGAAAATGCTGAAGGAAATCAGAAGATATAAGGACATTCATTGGATTGGTTTAAGGGAAAATCTACAGGAAACCATGGTTTTTACAATCAAAATAAAGGGCTTTCCTGTAAATTTTCCCATCATCCAATTCTATGAGACATATATCATTCACGTTTGCGGGGTATCAATGAAGTATTGCATCGAAAACTCATGTGGGTAAAACAATGCCATTTGCACCATCCCCCAGTCATCACCATTTTTATAGGTGGTATGTTTACCATTCCCAGTCATGGGTGGTTTATGGCATTGTTTTACCCACATTATATAATGGGTGAACATCTATCATTAATTGTGATAAACATGGGATATACTATTGTGAAAATCGGGATTAACCAATATTAACCAGTATTAACCAGTGTTTAATCCCAATACCCTCTGGTAATTTGTTACATAGCTATTGAAAATGGCCATAGAAATAGTGGATTTTCCCAGCGATAAAATGGTGGATCTTTCCATTGCAAACTGTTAGTTTACCAGAGGGTAACCAGTTGTTTATAACTGGGATGTTCCAGCCATACCAGCCATGTGAGAGAAGTGTACTGCAAGGTCATCCAGAGTTGCCATCAGTCGGATCAAGGTCAGTCGAAATGCCCTGGAACATTTTGAGCAAATCGCTGGACGCTTGTCAAACAAAAAACAACGAGACTTAACACAACCCACATACATAATAGATTATATATATATAGATATGGGATTATAGGTGTATATATATATATCCTCATATATATATATACACAAATAACCAACTACAAAGTAGCTGTCTGATTTTGTGGATTCCAGTTCACAAACTTCGCCGATGTCGCCATCAACACGATTTGAGGCCCACTGTCGCTTGGTGCGTATTCGGATGGTGATTTTCGTGGTGATCCCCTTGAAAAACATGGGAAAATCATGATGATCCTCCTCTTCGAAGTCGTCTAATGGTTCCAACCTGAGCCACGTAGATCAAAAAAGCGGTGCGAGAAAGGGAAACCTACAATTCATGGATATTCATGGTATATTCATATATTCATGGCATGTTCATGGTATATTAATACTGATGAATATTGATGTTATAAGTTTAACCAACAGCAAATAGGGATATAATCGGGACATCCATGCCATTTTGATCCATTTTTGTTGATAGAAACATGAGGATTAACCGTTGGATTGTGCTTTTCTCTCTCTCGCTCCAGAGCCATCAGCAAAGTCCCTCATAAGGGGTGCCTACTGATGACGGCCGTTGGGAAACGTAGCAGGGGCCAGTTTGGCATACCCCCCCCACAAAAAGAACACGAACATCACATTAAAATAGTGATGAGTTTTCTGTGCTAGCTTTTTGGGGTGACTAGGTGTGAATGTGTATATATATATATATACACACACCCCACGTGAAATCGACGTGAAGCGGCCAACAAGTGCCAGGTGGATACTCACCCTCACCCAGCAACAAGGTCAAGTTCCAGATTCGCATTTGGGCTAAAAACATATGTATATATATATATATAACAATATCTAAAAGCCACTACATTTGAGTTCTTAACCGGCCCTTCATCGAGGTTTATACTAAATATGTCCATGGAGTTCCTCACATCCCAAAAAACACAAACAAATCAGCAAGTCAGCAAATCCCTGAAATTACTGTGTATACAACATATACTATATATATACTATATATATATATATATATCTTTGTCTCTCTCTCTCTCTCTCATTGGACTTGACGTATTGACCTCCCAACCAGTCAACCCTCACAGCGTGTGTCCACTAGGTTCTCCCAACTCTGGACTAAAGCCATCAGATTCTCCTCCAGGTTTCCCCGAGGGCACGTCGTCCCACTCCTGGCGCAACTGTGACAGCACCGATCTTCCAGTTGCGCTCCAGCTGTAAGGGGAATTCAATCCCTAATCTTACCCTTTGGAAAAGGTTCGGAACCTCTCTCTGTCTATACAATTCTATATATATATATACTGTATGTGTGTGTGAGCACCAAAAGTATGTTTTATCATATTTGGGCTTACCACATGTCATATTTGAGCAGTGTTCAAAAAACACCATCTCATCCCTCTTTATGTCTTGGTTGATAGAAGTTCCCATAGGGGATCGTACTATAAAATAATTATGCATCATAGTGGGCCGGAAGTGTCAGCCGCAGAAAATTCGTACAAGTCATCTAAGATATGGTTTTTTCGGGAAGGTATGACCACCAGAAAGCCCTACATTTGGCTTACAAGACTTCTGGGTTTCCTGCAGATTTTCCATGAACCAAGCCAGTGAAGAAAAACGCGGCGTGCCTGAGCCTTCAAAGCTTTCAGGCCTCGGTCCATTTCTCAGGTGCCCAGGCTACCCTGGAAGAACCTATTCATGGGTTCCAAACTGAAGACCTACAAGACTATGTTCCAAGGATTGAAAAGGGATGTTTTTTTGAAAATCATGCAGATTAGAGTGAATCGGAAAGCCCCCATGATCTTCATGGGAAAATCGCCATGGTTTCCGGTTAAGATTTTCCCAACAAAACCAATCCATTGAGTGAAGGGATTACTACAGATTTGTCCTCATGCCTTCATGCCCCCGAATGTCCCAACGTGCATCTATATCTATATCTATATCTATATGTATATCATGCATGAATATGAACATAACAATCAGTGATGACACACAAAACAACATAGATATGTATATATATATATACACATGCATCATATACATAATATATATATATATATATATTTACAATATCTCTATATATATAATCATGTATATATATATACATAACATACAGATATATACATAATATATATATATATATATAATATTTATATATACACACATAATGTATATACATATGATTAAGTATGATTAAATATGTATATACACATACATTATGCATATAATAAATATATATATATATACACATATGCTATTGCTATGCCATACTTCGCTATAGTTATATCATTATCTTTTATTGATGTCTATATGTGTTTGTTATTTGGTTCATCTTTAATTAGTAGTAAACATCCCAACCTGACCAAATTGACCGCAAATAGCAAAAAACATCTGCCCTTTGTCGGCAAACAAGTTGTCATGCAAAGATTGTGATTGAAATCATGTGTACACACATATATATATATATGGCTATGAGTCAAAATTGTGTATGGAACGTTCCGCGCTGTTCCGGACGTATGGAACGAAGGGGTTTCGTAACTGGTCTTGTTCCGGACCTTTGGAATGTGATGAAATATAAGCTGTGCATAAATATAAATATATGTATACTGTATATATGTGTAATATATGTATATATAATTACATCTCAAGGATATGCGCGTTGAAGCTACTACCGCTGGCTGCCGCTCATTTTTACTTCTCATCTGCGCGGCATCCTTGTTGTACACCTGTTCAACGCAGGTTTGCCTTGCATGGCTAGTGCTCGTGCACTAGCTAGGACATAACTGGTAGCCAGCCTCAACCAGTGGCTACTATGTGAAGCTGTCCGCTCAGCTTCAGACCTGTCACGCAGGTCCCGCCTCCTACTCTTAAAACTCACAATTCCCACTCCCTATGGGGTAGATTGTGTCCCCGCGTAGCAAGACTCTAGGCTCCCAAAACCCACGCACAAAGGATGGCTTAGGAGCAGTCTATGTCAGAACCTGCCGTTTGTTCACGCGGAAGTGGGTCATGGATGGTACATGGGTGGTCCGGGTCTGGAACGGGTATGGAACGGTATGGAACGGGGTCTGGAACGAAACGGCCCACTCCAGCACAGCTCTGTCACCACGAAGCGCATCTTTATCAAAATTGGCAGTGTGGAGCGAGAGTAGCGCAGCAAGCAATTCTTAGACTGCCAGCTGGCAACAGCCAAGCGCATCTCTATCATCAAACATCACAGCTGTGCCACAGCGGGCAGCAACTGTAAGTGGTGCAGGCGCAAACCTGCCGCAGGTTGAGAGGTTACAAGCAATCCATTCTTAGACTGCCAGCTGACAACAGCCAAGCACATCCCTACCATCACACAACAAACGCTGCAGGCACAGACTTGCCAACACAATCACAGGGCTTGGGCATAGTAAACCTATTCTTGCATGTACACACTCATGTATGTATGTGCGCTCAAGTACGCGCGTACAAATGTAAAATCAGACTGCACATATTCAGGTGTATATATATATAAATACATACATATATATCATAACGTATGGATCAGAGGTATGGAACAGAGGTATGGAACGGATCCTTCAAGGAGGTATGGAACGGGGGTATGGAACGGGTGTGGTCCCGGAGCTTGTTCCGGACCTCCTATTTTGACTTGCACCCATATGCATGCATGCGAGCTGATTGCAAAGTCTGTGCAACTGCGTCATGCGGCATGCTCTAGCAATAGCTGTACCTGCCAAAAAACAAACAAACAAACAACAGTAAGGTTATGTGTTGTTTTTTCTGCCTCGTTTATGACACCTTTTTGAAACACCCTTAAGGCAGATTTTACATGATCGTGCCTTTAAAAAAAACTATGGTAAGAATTCAGTGGCATGAAATTACAACATTTTCCAGGTTTTTATTCCACCCCAACCATCCAAATGTTCCAAATGTGTTTTCCCCAAAAAGAAATCACACCTAGCCCCATCGCCATCCTTTCCACCCAGCAGGCCCATCTACCAAGCGACGTGCAGCTTCGGCCTCTTCAGCCTCTTGTTCCTTTTTCTCCAGCCACACGTCCGACTTGGCTTTGGCCCTGGCGATCTGAGATCTGGAGCGGGACTGTTTGAAAGACGCTGACAGTTTTTTTTTGGTTGGCCTAAACAAATTACAGTAAACACATATGGGATATCTTGGTCCAAGATTGGGATTAGGCACATATGTAAAGAACATATATAGTTTATAAATAAATAAACATATATATATATATAAATTGGCAGTGTGTGTATATATATATTATATTATGATGATGAAATATCACCAACTATGTTTTTGTTCTTCGGGGGGCGCTGAAGTCTGATGCTTGGGTATTCACCGTCAACATCTTGGGTATTGGGATGTGGTGGCACGGTGGGTGTTCTCAGATCATCAACCAACAGCCACCAAGAAACAACAGCCCTGGGATTAAAATGCTTGGTTTGGTTAAGATAATCCCAAATGTTGGTTGATGATTTTTATAGTAACCATAAAATTTGGTTAAAATATAGCCATCATATTTGGTTGATGATTTTAAAATAACCATGAAATTTGGGATTGTGAATCATCAACCAACATTTTTTCGCGATCATGATGATCGATCACAATCCCAATTGGTTGATCATAATCCCATGGAGTTTGAACGCGCAGCGACTTTTTTCTCTGCAGTGCAAAAGTCAAAGTTTGGCCAGCCACATGGCAACCCTGCCCCACTGCTTCTATGACCCAGTCGGGAAAAAACACATCCGGTTGCTCAATGTGAACATGAAAACCGGTTTCCAAAAACAAAAGCATTACATAGGCATTCAATGGCATTCATCTCCCAGTCTTTAGAAAATATAATGACCGTTGAAACTAACCGAGACTTTACTCAGATTGGGCGTTTATCCTTGGGCTGAAGTCATACTGCTTTATGCCTGCGGGCCGAAAACCGTTCCCGTAAAACGCACGTTTTTGAATATCGCGATTGTGGGGTGGAGTGGGGTGGGGTGGGGGGGCATGTTAACGTTTCTTGTCCTTCGTACATGATATATTGCCATGCTGCTGAGATCTCTGGGATCGTTTACTACGTTACATGTGCTGACGGGGTGGGGTGGAGTGGGGTGGGGGGTCATGTTAACGTTTCTTGTCCTTCGTACATGATTATATTGCCATGCTGCTGAGATCTCTGGGATTGTTTACTACGTTACATGTGCTGATGCAGTGGGGTGGGGTGGGGTGGGGTGTGGGGTCATGTTAACGTTCCTTGTACTTCGTACATGATATATTGCCATGCTGCTGAGATCTCTGGGATTGTTTACTATGTTACATGTTGCTACGCTGCTGAGATCTCTGGGATTGTTTACTACGTTACATGTTGCTACGCTGCTGAGATCTCTGGGATCGTTTACTAATTTACATGTTGCTACGCTGCTGAGATCTCTGGGATCGTTTACTACATTATATGTTGCTACGCTGCTGAGATCTCTGGGATCGTTTACTAAGTTACATGTTGCTACGTTGCTGAGATCTCTGGGATCGTTTACTACGTTATATGTTGCTACGCTGCTGAGATCTCTGGGATCGTTTACTACGTTACATGCTGCTACGCTGCTGAGATCTCTGGGATCGTTTACTACGTTACATGTTCTATGTGGAATCTGATGAAAAAGTCAAGTCCCAGCAACTTGAGTGCCAAAAGTGACCTCTTGATGGTGTATGCTAGAGCTTGGCAATGGAGATGCATTCACAAGAATGCTGGCTGCCAGCTGATAACGGTGCATGCGCTGCAGCGATGACGCTGAAAAAAGCCAAAAAACGCGCCCCAAGTTTTTCCAGGATTTCCAATCATCAAATCAGCACGGCACTGTGGTAAAATCACTATTTTTTTAAAAAACGTGCGTTTTATGGGCACGGTTTCCGGTCCGGCGGGTGCTTTATGTATAAGTTTCCTGGCCAGCATTCAAAATGTTCAAGGTGTCCACACGCAACCATCTATATACCCTGACCGGACCAGTCTTGAATGCGTCCCCATTACATATGGTAATATTGTTGGCTATATTCGGTTACATTTCTGGTGGTTTATTCCAAAATATGTGTAATTAATCCTTGTGCTTGCAAGTATGATTTGCCCCTTTATAACATCGCATTGCACGGTGAACAGGACAGCAATGTCAAACCAGGTCCTCATGTCAAAACAGTGACCAAAAACCATGTTTGTTGATTCTCTTCGCTTCCGTTCTTTGCAAATCTCAGCCCATGTTCAGCCCAAAACCTAGGATAGATATCGGTGTTTTCTGATGCTCACGTATTTGCCAAAGTTTCCTGATCTTGAAGACTCAGCTGTAAGACGTCAAAATTAATCTTGGGTATCGAGATGTTGCGCTATAGATCCAGAGTCATATGTATATTATATATATAATATAGTCAAATCATGGATGTCATTGGATGTCTACCTTTTTGGGTCCTTACTACTCACTACCATCACACAGGGGTGCCGGCGCTTGTGTCTTCTCAAGGTTGAAGCCACTCGTGCTGTACAGCCAGCGGCCCCCGCCCAGGACTGCCGTGGCCAACCGAACTCCTTTGGGGCACCAAGGGCGACCCAGGCCGGAATCATCGAATGAATGTTGGCATATGTGCTGTGTCATATTTAATACATATATAATATTCCTGGAATGGTTGAACATTGGTTCAACATCTTTCTTCTACTCGTATCGACTCGTTGTCCCGTAACATGGCCATTTTGGGGGTCAATTTACAATTTTCAGACAGGGCTACTCAACAGAAACTATCCCACTATGCATCATGGTATCTCATTTCTATCTCCCCATGTTTGCTATTGTTCACCACGTTTGATGATAAAACCACAAATAATAATGAATAATATGTATATATGATATATGTATATATATATGTATATAATGTAAATTAAAGAACACACACACATCACACACACACACATCACACACACACACAACACACACACACATATATATATATATATATAAAGACAAAGAAACACGATACTTCAATATATATATATATATATACACATATAATTAATGATATATATATATATACACGTATAATTGAACTTATAAAACCCTCAATGGTCTTGTTCTGGCGCCGACCTGGGTGTCTGCAGTCGTTTCCGGCTCAAAAAACCGTCACCGGGCCCCTCTTGAAGAGTTGCACTCGAATCTCATAGACCGGAGCAAATCGGCCCCCGCCTCAATCGTCGAAGAAGGCCTCACCTAAGAAATCCAAAATGTTCTTTTGACCTTGGACGATGGCAAAGAAGAAAGAAAGTCCTGGAAGTTTCAACATGTTTCAACGGTTTTGGAGAGGGAAAGCAACAAAGTATAGCCAACGAAGTAAACTTAGAGTGGGATGGTAACCATAAGAGGGAATTGTAGGATCTTGGCTTATCTTGGCGTTATCTCCCAACTCTATGGGATTTTTCAACACCATTGCTGCAAATCCCGCTGTCTTCTTGGCTTCGGCAGTGGGGATCCGGTGAGATCTTGCTTGCAGGATTGCAGTTTGAAGAAAACACATGAAAACACGAGCTCTCCAGGAAAGGTGCTTCATTTTTTCGGTGCAGAAACACACGTTGTCACATTGTGTCACATGGATTTGGGCAGTCTCGCTCGTATCATAATGCCACCAATTTAGCTTGGTTTAGCTATATAGGTTGCTGTACAACTAGGCTATCAGATGGGTTTATCATAGGAATATGTGGGGACATCTATATAGAGTTTTTGTAGGGTCAACATAAACTGGCTCTGGCAAACATAATTTGAAAAAACATGCACAATAAAAGGCAAATATCATCAGTTTCACAGATTAAATCCCTATGTTTGATGGTCAAATCATGCTCGACCCCGTTTGCGATGGGTAAATCATGATAAATCATGATAAATCATGGTCCATTTTAAATCGCTTTTTAATGACATTTATATGACATTTTGATGCGCAACATAATCTTTAAATCCACCATGTTCATCCCAGGTACACCCCCCGTCCCCCCACCGTGCAACGGGGCGCTAAACTTGGACTCCGAGAGCTGCGGCTGTGCCGCCTTCACGCGCGCCTTCACGGCGTCGATGCGCGGATGCAACTTGTCCACCAGAGAGTGGATCACGAAGCTGCCATAGCCTCCATTGGGGAGGGGTTGGGGGAAAAGGGGATGGCGTGGGTTGTTGTTGATGGTTTTTACCATCTGGTTATTTAACAGTTTGCCATGGAAAATCACCATTTTTAATAGGTAAACCATCTATTTCTATGGGTCATTTCCCATGGCTATGTTAGTCATAACCAGAGGGTAAATCTTTTCAAGATGTGCACATTTCTCTATCGCCATCCCGGAGGTTCAGCATGGGGCTGAAGGCATCTGAAGGCGAGCAGGTGCATATTCTTGCATCCACTTAGCGGCATTACGGTATTACAAAAAAAAATTGCCCTTACACGAGAAAGTTACTTACACGAGAAAGTTACTGAAACGTGAAATAAAAATAAAAAAGTGGAGTAGAGAGTTTCTTTTAAGAAAGTGTTTGTAAAAGGAATGAAGGAGAAGGAAGCATATAAATCTAACCAAAAGGAGTGCTAATGTCTCCGTGGGTGAAATATCAGATTGCGTGTGCTCAAGTTTTAATGCATGTGTGTGCCGGCAGTGACAATGTCATGTCTTCCAACAACAAGAAAATAGATTCAATCATCGGTCCACGCATTTTTTCTCTTGGGCAAACGAGGATTCCAAATATCTACAGCAAGTTTGGTTTGTGCAAGCCACAAACAGGTGAATTAAAGATGGGTTCCCATAGATTTTGAATCATATGAAATAGACTCGAATAGGCTGAAGCAGCCATGTGCTGAAGCAGCCATAGCTTGGCCGATGCAGTCAAAATGCTACTTCTCATCATTTTGTTTTTTCTTTTTTCATTCATCCACTTAACCCCTTTTCTTCTCACAATTTCGATCCGGATAGTGGAAGCAAGCTTGCTTGCCGATGGCCATGTGCTGGTTTGAAGCAGCCTGTACTTCTGGTACAGCTTTTCCACATGGAACCTTTTGAGAAGATCCCTTTGGATGACTTTGGCATCAGGCTTAGTGACTACACTGGGGTTGCCACGTCGTCGTGGAAGTTCGGGCGGCGGCATCATCATCAGCATGGAAACGGTCATATGTAGTTCAAGCCTAGAGCCTAAATGCGCGAGAAACCGCAAATGATTATGTTTCAGAACATGTACAGCAAACATGAGACAAGCCAACTGACAACAGGACATCCCCCTAAGAGAGTCGACACTTTTACCTTTCAACCTGTCATGTTTGTGGGAAATTCAAAGCAGCTTTTTTTCGATCCCGCATGGAAGGCACAATCAAAACTGCCTATAGGTCCGAAGTGCCTATGTCGCAGCCACATCGTCGGCAGCCACACGGCCGATGCAACCGTGGTATGGCCGATGCAGCCGCGTCGTCTCGTCTATGGCCGAGGCAGCCACATCACTTGTCTCCATTGTCCTCTTCGTCGTCATCGTCGTCGTCTCCCAAAGGATCCCAGACGTCGTCTTCTTCATCTTCGTCGTTTTCCTCTTCGCCTTCCTCCTGCTCATCCTTTGTTTGCTTGGCTTTGGCTTTTGCCTTAGCCTTTGGTTTGGCCTTTCCCTTGCCTTTGGCCTTTGCCTTTACCTTTGCCTTTGGTTTTGCGGTCTGATTCACAGGTGCCTGCCCACTGCCACTGACGGCCTCACTGTAAGCTGACGAAAACAAGCTGGACTCAGGGTTTGTCATTTCTTTTTCAAGCAATGCAAGCAGCCGGTCTTCAAGAAGGCGTTGGTGCTCCGGGATGAAGGCAACTCCTACATACCCTATACCCGATTTCGCAAGGCTGCCCAAGCCATGAGGCCGTCCAGAGGTGTCAAATCGATAATGATCTTCGCGAAAAAGTCGTGGATCAACTCGTCGCAGAGCTCATAGGGTGGACTGTGGTAGCAAACTGGCTCCAAGACCGAACCAGTCTGTGAGGTTATATTCCAGGCCGAAACAGCCTGTGATTGCAGGCCGAGGCAGCCTGGAACGTTTCACGGTTTAAGCCGAAACAGCTTTTACACACGGAAAAGCTTGTGAGCCGAAAACAACGAGAAACGACTTGAGTGAGGCTTCTAAGGACGGGGCTAACAGTTCTCTCCTTAGACTGACAGCAGCGAAGTGTGTAAGGAGAGGGCTGTGAGAGGACTATTCGAAAAAGGTTGTTTTGCCCTAAGGAATTTTATTCAATAGTCCTCTCACAGCCCTCTTCTTACACAGCTCACTGACGAAGGCCCAAGGCAGCCAGGGTGGCCGAAACAGCCAAGCTCAGGCAACACGACGACCTGTGACGACCTCTCCTTACACAGCAGGTTTTTAGTTAAACATGCTGTGTAAGGAGAGGTCATTTCGTCCTCTCCTTACACAGGTAGGGGACGTCCCCGATGCTCGGTTGGAGAGGACAAACAGAGGACAACAGCTTGTAAAACCGAAACACTTAGTAGTATTACACATTTGTCCTCTATTCGTCCTCTCCTTACACAGCTAGGGGACGTCCCCGACCTTCGGTTGGAGAGGGCAAATCGCCCTCTCCTTAGGATAGGGTTTTTGATTATACCCCTTAGGAGGTTAGGGGACGTCCCCGAATTAGATTCTTAGGAGGTTAAGGGATGTCCCCGAATTACCCCTTAGGAGGTTGGGGGACGTCCCCGAATTAGAGTCTTAGGAGGTTAGGGGATGTCCCCGAATTACCCCTTAGGAGGTTAGGGGACGTCCCCGAATTAGAGTCTTAGGAGGTTAGGGGATGTCCCCGAATTACCCCTTAGGAGGTTAGGGGACGTCCCCGAATTAGAGTCTTAGGAGGTTAGGGGATGTCCCCGAATTAGGGTCTTATAGTCTTAAGAGGTTACATCCCTGCAATTCTTAAGATGATTTTTAAACATATGTCAAAATCCCTTATGACATAAAAAAGAAAAATATCCCCCTTACCAGGTTAAAGGACATTTGAATAGTAAACATGTTACATATTTTCCCCTTTTAGGATTCAAATACTCTTTGGTGGTTTCAAAGTCTCTTCCACAACCTGGTCCCAAGAAGGCCACAGCAGCCACTAGTTTCTCAGAGACAGTCTGTCTTCTCGAAACCCTTGCTGGCCGAAACAGCCAGGCGATTTGGCCGAAGCAGCCAAGCTTCTGTGGCTGAAGCAACCACTTGTTTCAAAAAAAAGTTTCGGGCAGGCCGAAGCAGCCTGGCAACGAGCAGGCCGAAGCAGCCTGGCGACGAGCAGGCCGAAGCAGCCTGACTACGCCCTTAATCTCAAGCCTCGGCCGCAGCAGCTTGGGTGAGTTGAAATACCCAGGTGGCTCCTGAGAAGTGTCCAATCCTCAATCGATTGTCCACTTCTGACCTCAAGTTTGGCAGCATTGGCTGATTGTCTTCTGTATTCAAACTCAAGTGTCCTGACCTTAATATTTCACAGCTTGCCATTTCATCTGCTGCTGCATCAGCAGCGAGTGCCACAACTCTTGACCGCAGGTGTTTAAAAAGATTTTTCTTCAAACGCCCAAGATTCTGACTAAGAGGAGCCATATAAAATCTAGAGCAAGCACGCTATGACTGCCCATGTGGCTAAGGAGACATTGTCAGCTCCTGTTCCAGCTTGCCTTGCTTGGCCTAAAAAGCCACTTCGAGTTGTCAAGTCTGGGGCCACAGCCATGAATCGTATGGTCAACCGCCCATGCCGCTCATCCCGCATCAAAGAAATGTGAGAAGATTTCACAATGAACTTTTGGTCCAAAGCTTTTAACCCCTCTGCCAAACACCATGCCATTTGCAGCTCTTTTTGCGTCAATGATCTTTTCTCGCCAAAGCACTCCATCAGCTCTTGAAACTGACTCAATGACAGGGCTTCATCGGGACTGGGACCAACACAGCCCCCTTCCTTCAACCATTCCTTCACCGCTGCCCTGTGCGCCTTGCTTTTATGGTGCTTCATCAAATTGCAGTTCTGCAGTTGGCCCTTCTTGGTCATTGAATAAGAAGCGAAAGGGTTGGAAACCCCAGTTTCCTTGCACACTTTACAACCAACACCCCAAGGTTGCTGCTTCACATCCAACCATGACCCTAGCTCTGGCTGGCCATCTGAGACGAGGGACATGTTACACCATTTTTTGCCCGAACTACGCCATCTGAATTTGGCCCCGGTTTCCAAGCTTGACATTGCTGAAGTGTTCGAAGCAGCCACTAAAATGGCCGAGCCAGCCAGTACCGCGGCCGAAACAGCCACAATGGAGCGGTGCATCTTAACCATTGAGCCAAAAGAAAACGAGAAAAGAAAATAACCATGACACTTGTTAAAATATCTAGCAGGGCGTCTATACGAGAAATGTCCTTCTGTGGAGGTCGCCAGGCAGAGAACAGAAAAGCTGTCCCACAATAAGTGTGTCAGAAGAAAAATGTGTCATATACCACAACTAAGGAAAATTGAGCTGAGAATTCTAGTAGAACGCATGTGGCATGGTTTCAAAAGTCATGAAGGTTTTTGTAACAAAGTCTGAAAGTACAAAACGACGAGTTCTGGAAATAACTTAATTTTGAAAAACCAAAACGAGAAAATATCTCCAAAGCCCCAATTTTTTTTGTAATACCGTAATACGCTTAAGTGGATGCAAGTATTTGTTGTATCTTTTTTGATTTATATTGGAAAATCAATCAATAAGCAAAACTGTGGGGTGAGTTGTCCCAGAAACACATTGGAAAATGACATGGTAACTATCGGGTCCCCGGTGGCTCGACTGACCGACCACCATGCTTCTGGAAGGCAATTGAATCCACCCCGTTTACAGGAAACATCTAGGTTTAATGGTAAAACCACGTAAAATCCACATGATCCTGTTTGATTGACATTTCCAGCAACACCTGCCCAATAAGACCCATCATCTCCCTTGAATCCACGTTACCCCAGTGTTTCTCAACATTTTCACCACTACAATCTTAAATGAAACCCCGTATTTCCGGCACAAAATCATGTTTTCTCATACATGGCCCCCTGTCCCTGTCCCAATAAAGGCCAGGCACGTGTGGCCGCAATCGTTTCGAGTGACTCTTCACCCTCCCCAGCTAAGAAGGCGTCTGCAATCAGCGCCTGGCCTGCAGAGTTTGGAAAACGGATCGATGCGAAGGACGAAGCGGCTCGGCTTGGCTTCGCCAGGGATTGAACCATCAAACATGGGATTTCTGGGGTACCCTCTGGTAAACTAACAGTTTGCAATGGAAAATCACCATTTTCAATGGGAAAATCCACTATAAATGGCCATTTTCAATAGCTATGTTAAATTACCACGGGGTAACTCTTTAGATGGGATATGGGACCCCGAATGTGGCAGGGTCTAAGTCGGCTGGGGCGACAGTAAGCTGGAAAAATATAGGTTGGTCATTCCCACGACGAAAAGGAAAAGGCATTGATAATAGTCACAACCTACAAACACGGGGTTATTGCATAGATAGATAAACTATGATAGATTCATATTCAGTGGAATAACACAGTCCCCTCGCCAAAATGTTGAGCAAATATCAAAATCATAGCCTATGCCAGATAACTTTGGATTAAATAGTTTCACACCCCAAAAAAATCGAATTTCCCTTGAATGGTGGAAGGGGTGGCGGGGTTTTCTTTGGGGGGGCCCCGGGAGCAAGCAGAAATAAGACTTCAACACTCGTTTGATCATGGTGGTTTGACAATTTGATCAGCCTGCTATGAAAAGGGCTCACCTATACAGAATCATCAACCATAAAGTGCGGATTTAGCGCATCACAATGGTGACAATAGAGTACTCAGAATAAGGCAGTCAGTCTATGCTTCTCTTGTCAGCGCTTCATCCACCAATTCAAAACAAGCTTGCAGCTTGCAGCTTGGAAACTGGCTTCCGTTAATTGCAACAAATCCAAACTACTGACTGGAACACCAAAGTGCTTTCCGTAAAATCACCGAGGGTCACGGTGAACCCCCCATGAATTGTTCCATTTGGGGCGCAATCACTGGTGGATGACCGCTTCAACCCATCATCTGTTTGTTGATCTAGAGTTGACATTTTGGAAAAAAAGAAAGAGCATTTGGAAAAGTTGGAGGAAGATCTGGTATATACCGTAGAATATACATGATTTCTTGGCAACTTTTGAGCTAAATCCAGGTGTCTACTCACGTCGGCATGTTCCAGCATCCGCTGCACAACGTTGCTGGCTGTCTTGTGGGTAGCATGCTGTAAGACCTGGGCGGTCCACAAAGCGAAACAATTTGCCCCGGCCTGGGGCCTGGTCATTGAACAGCTTGCGAACTGGAAGCCATGGACAATTGAGTTTGATGATTTATCTATTTTATGAATATATATAAAATATATATATATATAATATAATATATATATATATACAATATATATACATATATATATGATATATAATATATATATATATATATATTTGTTTAACACTGATTGCCACGGCTATGTTAAATGTTAAATTACCAAATGGTATATTGACATTGAATCAATATTGAGCCAAGGGAAAGGCACAGTTCCACATGCTCATTTCACTTAGTTTCTGTCCCCCTGGCCTTCACGAAACCTCCTCTTTTCTCCTCTCCAAAGGGGCTGACGTTGCTGGCTCTGGAGGCCCCAAGTTTTAGAGAATCTCCTTTTTGAGCATGCCATCTTTGCTGACAAGACACATAGGGCAGGAGCATTTGAAAGCATCTGGTTTTCCTGTTTGCGTTTTGACATGGTTGAGCTCAAAATATCGAGCCCACCAACAGCCCACAGAGTGGAATGAATTATGAGACATAAAAGTAGCCACAGATCTGAAAGAACACCATGCTGGTTGGTAGTTAGCTGAGGGAACACCAAGTGATGGTTCCAAAGAAAGCATAACCGTCACCAACAAGCTTGCCTGTTTGGGGGGAAATGCTTCATTCTGGTGCCAAAATTATGGTACCAATGGGCCCACAACATTACCAAATGGCAACCGGGAGTGTGAAACGACCCGTTTGGGTGTGATATCCTCTGGTAATTTGTCACATAGCTATGGAACATGGCCATAGAAATAGTTGATTTATCCATTAAAAAATTGGGTTTTCCATAGTTTTGTTAGTTTACCAGAGGGTAAGTCTGAATTCAAACATCCCACAATCCATGCTACGACACCGAGAATCCGTTCTGGCATGCCATGCTCGAAAATGTGCTGCACCACAAAATTGGCCTTGGATTCGCTTTTCTTTGGGCCCGATCCAAAAACCCCAGACAAATTCCTACGATTTTCCAGATCTTTGGTGGTTTAACAAATAACCAATCAACAAAAAAAGGTGTCGCACAATTCTGGTGGATTATCCAACCAAAAATCATGTTGATCAACATTTCTTACATCAAACAATAAGAAGCAATCACCAAGAAATCGCCATGTCTGGTTGCACAAACAAACACATTTTGCATCAATTCCAGGTGGCGAAAGGGTGCCGCGCCAGGGCTTCAAGGTTTGCTGCGCCATCAAAAAGTTCATCTAAGAGAAAGCCAATCTGCTCCTGCTGCAGCTATTGTGGGATATGGATGGATATGGATACTTTCCCGTTTTTAGGAACATGCCCTCCAGTAAAGAAAAAAGGGCTACTATGGAAAATCACCACAGCCAATGAAAGCCATAGGTAAAGCATCGAACTTTAGATGGATCTACAGTATGGGTCATTTTCCACAGCTATGTGAGTTTACTGGCATCACACCCACACCATGGGCTAAGTTTCCTTTTGGGGATGGTTCCCCCAATCCAAAGCATCATTTCTGTCGTGAGGTCGCCAAGTTTGGTCGCAATGTTTTTTTCCTATTATAGCTCCACTATACCTCCAGCTTTGATGGTGATGTTCCGTGACTATTTATTGAATCCCTTTGTATAAACCCCATAAAAAAATCCCAATTGTTCATGGTTCAAACGGCATTGTTTGATGGTTATGGTCGTCCACCATGTTAAACCCGAGGTGATACATATCTGCCATCAAGGCCAACTCTTGGTGAGAAGGCCAAGGAAGGTTCATTGAAGATGGGACCCCAAACTATAACTAGAAACTGATGAACAATGAAGCAATTCACTAGTTGCAATTAATAAGCCAATGACACAATTAACCCATGAACAATGAAACTAGTAACTATCCCTCCATTAACAAACAATTATTAGCCATTAACTATTATACAACCATTAAATAAATAAATATATATATATATGGGCAAATTATAATATTTCACGAACCTGAATTAAGGCCATTTGGGGATGATTTCCCTTACTAACCATGATTCCAGTGAGGTCGCAGTGAGATCGTTATAATTTACGCAGATATATATATATATTCAAATAAATTATATAACTATTGTATATAATTGGAAAACCATAGGGACAAGATTGTCCGTACGGGTTTGGCCACTTTTGTGGTCCGTAACGTTGTTTTTTATTCAAATATTGACCATGTCTGGCTGCAATCCCTCTACTTACGGATCAATCGTTTTCCTGAAATCTTGGATTAGCCGGACTGGTTCCAGCAGTATATGAGTGTCTCGTCTAGAGGCAGCATTTGGGGCAGAGTGTCGAATTATGGTTACTGTTTTTTCCCAACATGATGTTGAAAAAAAACTAGCTTTGTATGGGTACACCCAAATTTGGTTGCACATATGAAAACCCAAATACGCATTTGAACCAAAAACAATCCGTTACGGGTAAAACCATCACGGACAAAAAATAGTCCGCACGGGTTCCTAGGTATATATATATATAACATATATATATATAACATATATATATAAAAACATAATTAATCATATACCTATATATCATAGATGTATTCAAACTACGGGACAAAAAATCTTGGCGACAGTGCCTCACTGCAGTGTTCCATGAGGCGCTCGAGAATACGGCTTCCGAATTGATGTCCTCGATCAACGGGCGTTCGTTCAACGGGGGATGATGCAAGTCACCTGACCTGAAGAATGGGGAAAATGGTGGGTTTATTGAGATATTAATTATACAACCCGTACATTTTCAATGAAAATGGTGGGTTTAAGTTTATTGGTCATTTATGGGGGGATAACTATACAATGAAATATTTATCAATGGATTGGTTTTGTTGGGAGAATTGAAACCGGAAAACCCCCATAGTTCATGGGAAAATCGATGGTTCCCGGTTAAGATTTTCCCTTAAACCAATTCATTGATCTAGGATTCACCACCAATTTATGCCCATTTCAAATACCCAAAAATGTTGGAGATCTAATTGTGATGAATTGTGGGATTTCAGAACGTTTTACATCAGTTCATTAGGAGTTCAAAACCAATATTAGCGGGATCCTGTTTTCAGACAAAACCATATGACGGGCACCATCTGAATCAGATCAGGCGGTAATGGGATGTGGGATTCTCAGAAACAACTAATAAGCGAACACTGTAGTCTGGCGGTGTTTTCCAGTTTAGAAGCATCAAGTAGCGATGAATACTAAAATCCTTATGTTCATGGCTTCGACACATATGGACTATATATATATATACGTCAAATATATATATATAATATATATATATATATAATATATATATATGTCACAACAAGTTGTCTTTGGCACAGCTCAGCCAGGCTTCTGGCAACCATTGTCGCTTGGCCACGCATCTTTTCCTAAGTTCAACAGATTGGTTTGGTTGATTGGTGGTGAAAAAAGTGCCAGTACCACAAATATATATATATATATATATAAATGTGTACAGTGTAAATATATATATATATAAATACTGTGTATATATATAAATGTATACAGTGTAAATATATATATATATAAATACAGTATACAGGTCATTGCAAATCATTATCCCTAATATTGCAGAACATAAAAATCCATCAGTTTACCAAAAACGGTGTACCAATTTAAACAGTGATTGATCACTATTTTGGGGTGTAAACCCACTGAATTAAGGGTCAATCAAGGTTTACTGATCCGTTGTTAATATTACAGATCTTGGTCATTGGGTATCATCATCATCATCGTCATCATCATCATCATCACCATCATCACATCATAATCATCATCGTCATCATCATCATCCTCAATACTGAATGTATAAACTGAAATCTGTTTTGCGACTACCTATATCATACATACTTTGAAAAATCGGATGAACAAAAAATGTTGTGACTATCATGCTGCTGCTGCTGCTGCTGCTGCTGGTGCTGCTGATGATGATGGTGATGATGATGATGATGATGATTGACATGTCACTTCTGTCCTTTAGACTGGCTCCGCTTGGTCCTGCTGCTAGTTTGCCTCTCAGAGGAGCATATGCGCCCCTTTTTCGGAATGGCTTTGGCTGGAACATGAGGGGGTTCCTAACTTGACACTGACAGGACGGTGTGTAGAAAAAACTGGACAGTGCCAAACTACACCCAAGGTAGCAATGATTTTATATATATTATATATATATTTATATATGTGTGTATAGATATTGTATGTTATGAAAAAAATACGTACAACCAAAAACCCTGTTGACAACAAATCGGGACGAACTTTCAGGTCACCCTTGGACAAGCACATGATATTGATCTTAGATCACCTGCGAAAAAGAAAACACATGTCAAGCAAGTCTAGCGCTGGATAGTTTTTGTGGCAAAACGATCTAAGATAATTAACGACTATGGAAGATGACTAAAGACGATGAAACAAGATCACAGAATCACAGATTACCACAATTTAATTAATATTAAAGCACTGATTGAACTTAAGCTTTAAGCTACCCGGGTTGCTCCGTGGCGGGTGGCCTGTGGGCGGTGGCGTCACTTTTGTCATTCATGGTAGCCACTTGCAAATCTTTCCCATTTCTGTACACATTGGTTGAGGTGTGAATTGCTTATTCACATTTTTTGTGGTGCCTCCACACCCATTGAAAGACTTTCTCTTTCAGGTGAGGGTTGACCACACTATGCCCTTTGGACTTTTTTTTTCAAAACAATTCACTTGCTTTGGAAGTCACCTTTTCACCCCAAGCTCTGTCAAGACATTAGGTGCCACCCACTTTGCTCTAGTATCAAGAGCGTCTTCCAAGTCACTTCAACATGTTATCAGTATAGCATCCAGGGTGTCCTCCAAGTTACTTCAGCATGTTGTCAACGTAGCATCCAGAGCGTCCTCCAAGTTACTGTTACTAACGTAGTATCAAGAGCGTCTTCGAAGTTACTTCAAGATGTTATCAACGTTGGCACCAAGAGCGTCTTCCAAGTTACTTCAACATGATATCAATGTAGCATCAAGGACGTGGTCCTAGGAACATTATTGCCACCGCCCCACCCCACCCCACCCCACCCCACAAATACAAAGCTAGAAGCCCCCACAAAACGCACAGGCCACCGGACACGGCGTTAGCAAATACCCATCACAAGGTTTCCTCAACGTCAAAGACGATCGCCTCGCCACACCCCACATGTGAATTATCCGTCAATATGGACGCATTTGGAGAATGCAGCTTCATAAGCTTACTCTGGGTGGCATAAGCTTATTACTCAGTGAGAAACATTTTTTTTTCATTGGATCCGCGCGCGCGCGTGCGCGCTCGCGCGGCTCAACGAGCTTATTTAGGATACTGCACGCGCGGGCGCAGGGAAAACGTTTACAGTAAATTTCAGGCATTTGCACTTTAGTAAGTAGCCGTAGCATCTGGCCGATTCTCGTCATCTTCTTTTTCATCCTCCGTGCCCCCACCACCTTCAGCCGAAGCTCCACGATGCACACGAGGCGTGTGGAGGGCAGAACTTCGATCAGCTTGGCCAAGACGTGGTTCCCTCAGTCTGGACCAGTGGGATGGGACATCCATTTGCCAGCTATTCTGGGTACCACCATCTACCAGCTGGTTGGTGGTATACCTACCCCTCTGAAAAATAGTCAATGGGAAGGATGACATCCCATATATTATGGAAAATAAAAATGTTCCAAACCACCAATCAGCCAGGATGAACTGAACCCTGCCCATGTTTCCTCTGTATCAATCGACGGGGAACAGAACTGTGTTCACCAGCATTTCAAGTGATGTTCAAACTGTTCAGCATGTTTTTTGATCATATGACACCACCCCAAAACATGGATTATTGTTCGATCTGGGTCAGGGTGGCTCAAACTTCCCCAGACCCCGCCGACTGTGTTGTTTTTTCTGAAGGGAAGGGCCAGCACAATGGGCATGTCATCTAAAGCACCAGAATTCTAAGGGGCTCCACACCAATCCCATGTGCTTTTTGCTAGCCACATCCATCTTCTATTGGCCTCATATGTTACCCTGGCATGAGGATCACATAATCAACCAGCTTTCTACGGAGACAAGCGATATGGGCCTGGGGCTGTCACCAAGGGGCCATGGGGGGACACGTAGAGATCCATTGCGTGTTGCAGCAACTCTTCGGCAAACTTTTCCCGGTCTCGCACCTCCGAGGCGCTTGCGATGGCTTTCTGCCTGCAGTGATGGCTCCGAACAGATAGCGCCCCAGAGGTGGCTACAGGTGTCTACATGTGCTCACAATGATACAGGGTTTATTGTGGCTGTATCTCTGTAACTCACGGAATTTATAAACAAACTTGTAACTGGTTTGGGGACCATAACATACAAGAAACTGAGGCATCAATGGCGCCTGAAGTGGATAGAAACCATGGAAGATTCCTCTTTTCAAATTCATAGTCATTGATGAAGTTTTTTTGTCGTTCCAAGATGGATGGAAAGATTAGGCAATGCCAATCAATCCGACAGGCGACAAGAATCTTCAAGCAATATACAACGCAGCACCATTGATTTAAACAGCAATTGGATCCACCAATGCAGCAACAAAACTCAATCACAGACAACACATTAAAAACATCAAGCGGCATGTCTATTAATATATACACATGGGCAAACAAATATGCAAATAAATAAATGAAAGAAAATACCAATATATACTTCCATACATAACACACACGCACACACACATATATATAGATACACATAGTTACAAGTTTATATCTAGATCAAGTTTCATGGAACCATCATGTTCCCCATTTCTGTTTCCGTCTTGCCCAACAACGGCCCTTGCAGCCCAGGAACACCACGCGAGATCCGAACTGCGTCAGGGAGAGCGACAGCACATTGGAGGACAAGACCCAGCTGACCACCTCAGACCTCCAAGGCGAACCATGGCAGGCTGTGAGGATGAGAAGCGGTTTGGCAAGATGGCCCCAACAAGTGAACTACTTTGAGTGGGATGATAAGAAGAACAAAATTATGTATATGTATATATATATATATAAATAGTCACTGTCGGGTAATAAGCAGATTTCCTCCCTTGCCAGCACACAAGCAGATTGCTCAACTGCCTCGCTTGCCGGTAATTTATCTGCTTGTTACCCCTAAAAATGTGTAAAGTTAAAATCAGCTTATTACTGTTGTCCCCAGACACTGGGTCACGTCTTCAATTGTTTCGGTATAGTTTATCATAGGAACCCTTTAGTAACATCACTGGAACATGCATCCTTCACGGCAGGGCTACCTTAGATGATCCGATGTTCTCCTCTGCTCATCCTGCCTTTTCCTTTGAAAACCTCTTGTTTTCGTGTGTTTTCTTCTGTTTTCTTTTCTTACCCTATTAGTACAAATGTGTTTTGTGCAACAAGTGTTTCACATGTCCACCAAGGTATGGACCAAAAGCTAGCAGTGTCAACCTTTCCAACGCATGAGTTGCACCAAAATTTTATGGTTTTTAATTGTGGGTGGGAGGAAACCATGCAATGAAAAACAAACAAAGGAAATAGCAGATATCAGTTTTTCTTAGATTATATCATTTTTCCTTTGGCATCCTTTGATTTCCTTTGTTTTCCTTTGGCTTCCTTTGGTTTCCTTTGGTTTGCTTTGTTTTCCTTTGGTTTCCAAGGGAGAAACAAAGGAAAAACAAATCCAAGGAAAAAACAAACCAATCAAGGAAACTCTAAGGAGGCTATAAACCCATAGAATGCATCAATCCTGTTACTAAGGAGGCTGCTGGAGCTAGAGCTTAGTTGTTTTCAGTCAGTGACCGAACTTCGGAGTCTGTATACGCGTACAAACCTACAGCAATAAACCAAAATGCAATTTCCCTGACACGAGCAACTTGATCAGGTGCCCCGTATACAATGAAAATGAGTTGCTTCTTACAGCCTGAGTGGACCTACTCCATTCAGGGTACAATATTTTTCTACTGGGTATCATGTAAAGGGGCCTAGAAATTTGCCAGCCCAGAGTAAGGAAACAATGTGTGGCTCTTGGTTTTGCAGCGACCCTTTCTTGTGGCTCTTGATTTTCAGGCGACCCTTTCTTGTTGCAATAATCCCTCAAAACTTCTTTACAATTCAATGCTTTTGACACTGTCTTGGGCTCCAAGAAACGGCAGCCCTTCTATACTGTGCTGTGACGATTGATTGAGACTGCTTAAACAAATTATTCTAGTATATTCTAGTCTGATTCAGTTTCTGGGCTGTGGCCCGGCTATTTCTTGAATTTGTTGCCCCAGGAAGTCCCAACTTTCAAGCAACTGTAATAAGAAGATGTCCAAATCTGCTTGCTACAGTCAGGGTACTTTAAGGCGTAGTGCAGATCAACTATAATAATGCATGCTTTCAGGCATGTGTTGGTTCCTCGGGCTGTTTTTTTTGGTATTTTTTTGTTTGGCAATTCTCTCAGAATGCCTTTTAAACATACATTTGCGACTTGATTTTGGGCCCGCGCTTTTGTCGCAACGCTTTCTCATTCCAAAACTCCCTTAATTAAGATTGCTTTACAAAAACGCTTTTTGACAATGTCTTGGACTCCTAGAAACGGCAGCCCTTCCGCTGTTAAACACATTATTCTAGTCTGATTCAAGTTATGGGCTGTGGCCCGGCTATTTCTTGAGTTTGTTGCCCAAAGAAGTCTCAACTTTCAAGCAGCTGTAATAGGCAGATTTCGAAATCTGCTTACTGTCAGTGCCAGAATTATAGAACGGAAGTTGGGGAGTACGAAGCTACGGTTATTTACCGTACCCTGTTGTTCTATAATTCTGTTTTCCTCGGAAGGTATGAAAAAAAACGTATCTGAATTTACTCCTAACTTTTTTCGTCGTTCTATAATTTTTGTCGGGGCGCTGTTATTCTATAATTCTGTTTTCCCCCATTTTTCTCACATTTCCAATTTTCGTTCTATAATTTAATTTTCTCCATTCTATAATTCATTTTTCCGTCGAACGGAAAAAATAATTATAGAACGGAAAAATTAATTATAGAATTATGGAACCTCTTCCGGGGTCCCAGAAAGAGCTGAGCAAACTGCCTTTTTTCCATCCCCTCAAGACTTGTATTGTAGCAGATCGTGGGCCGTCAAATAGCTCACTGGAACATCTGCCGTCAAATCCTCGTTAAATCTAAATCTTTTCCTCATTTCCTCATCAAATCCCCATTAAATACTCATTTTATCCTTATTTTATCCGCGTTTTATTATCATTTCCTCATCAAATCCTCATGTTATCTTCATTTTATCTTCATTTTATCCTCATTTTCTCATCAAATCCTCATTAAATCCTGATTAAATCCTCATTTTATTTTCATTTTATCCTTATTTTATCCTCATTTCCTCATCAAATCCTCATTTTATGTTCATTTTATCCTCATTTTATCCTCATTTTATCCTCGTTTCCTCATCAAATCCTCATTAAATCCTGATTAAATCCTCATTTTATTTTCATTTTATCCTTATTTTATCCTCATTTCCTCATCAAATCCTCATTTTATCATCATTTTATCTTCATTTCCTCATCAAATCCTCATTAAATCCTCATTAAATCTTCATTTTATAGATTGTATATGTACAAATATGCAGTAAATATCATGGAGGTGCCAGAAATTATAGAACGAGGAAATTTAATTATAGAACGGAGAAATTTAATTATAGAACGGGGAAATTTAATTATAGAACGGATCCGAATCCGCGCGGGATCGGGATCCGGAGGAGTACGAAGGTATGGTATTTTACCGTACTTTTGTACTCTTGGCTCCGTTCTATAATTCTGGCACTGACTGTCCTACGGTCAGCGTAGTTTAAGATGTAGTGGAGATCAACTACAATGCATGCTTTCATGCATTTATGGTAGGTTCCTGGGACTGGTGTTGTGTGTATTTCCCGGCAATTTCTCTCAGAATGCCTTTCAAACATACGTTTGCGGCTTGATTTTGGGCCCGTGCTTTTGTCGCAACCCTTTCTTGTTCCAACACTCCTTTGAGACTGCTTTACAAATGAACGCTTTTGACAGTGTCTTGGACTCCTAGAAACGTCAGCCCTTCCAAACTGCGCTGTGACGATTGATTAATACTGATTAAACACACTATTCTATTCTAGTCTGATTCCGTTTCTAGGCTGTGGCCCGGCTATTTCTTGAATTTGTTGCCCCACCAAACGAAGTCCCAATTTTCAAACGGCTGTAAGAAGCAGATTTCATCTGCTTACTACAGTCAGGGTAGTTTAAGGTGTAGTGGAGATCAACTATAATGCATGCTTTCAGGCATGTGTTGGTTCCTCGGGCTGTTTTTTTTTTTCCGGCAATTTCTCTCGGAATGCCGTTTAAACATACATTTGGGGCTTGATTTTTGGCCCGTGCTTTTGTCGCAACCCTTTCTCATTCCAAAACTCCCTCAAGACTGCTTTACAAACGACCGCTTTTTGACACTGCCTTGGACTCCTAGAAACGGCAGCCCTTTGATAGAATTTGGCATTAGGCTGTGAGATTTCCTTTCAGTTTCGCAACTTACGGCCTTTCTGAGTACCTCGGGTCCCTTTTGGAATCAAAAGATCACTTGAGATGACTCATAGATGACCTTTCGGTCTTTCAAGTGTGTGTGCAGGTTGGCCTTTGTGCATGCAGGTAAGGTGCAGGTGCGCGCGGGCATGCAAGCAGGTATGCATGCTGGATGCATGCATGCACCCCTGGACACAAGCATGCAAATCTGCGTGAGCACGCCCATAGCCACGTCCCAAGTCTTCCAAGTCTTCCAAATCTTCCAAATCTTCCAACTGCTTTTTTCCTTTTGAGTCTGGCCCTGTTCCAGGTCACGCCCCGCTTTGGAGGAAGAAGGGATCTCGGGTAAGGTCCTGGAACGTGGGGCGATTTGCAGGAGATCGTTGCAGGAGACCCCTGATGATCTCTGCCAACCTGTCATGCCCGAAATCTTCGTACTCCGGGAGGCCATCGTGATCGTAGAGCACGATGTTGTAAATGTCGAAGGGCAGTCCCTCATGCTCGGCAAACGGAAGTTGACCCACCCAGAAGTAGTATAAATTGATTCCAAAGCTCCACACATCAGCGGCCAGACCATAACCTGAAGATCTTTCGGCCTGCCGATTGACACGCATGATTTCAGGGGCCAGGTAATGAGCCTATACTGTGCTGTGATTGAGACTGCTTAAACAAATTATTCTGGATATTCTAGTCTGATTCAATTTCTGGGCTGTGGCCCGGCTATTTCTTGAGTTTGTTGCCCAAAGAAGTCTCAACTTTCAAGCAGCTGTAATAAGCAGATGTCCAAATCTGCTTATTGCAGTCTGTGCAGTAAAATCAACTATAATGCTTGCTTTCAGGCATTTGTAGGTTCCTCGGGCTGGTGTTTCGTGATTTTTCCGGCAGTTTCTCTCGGAATTGTGCGATTTGGGGCTTGATTTTGGGCCCGTGCTTTTGTCGCAACCCTTTCTTATGGAGGTCTATTGGTTTCAGGTTTCCTTTGAGCAGGTTCAGGTATTTTCTTTGGATTCTTGAATTTCTTCTGCTCCTGCTTCTCTGCTTTTCTACTTCTCTGCTTTTCTGCGTGTTTGCTCTTTTGTTCTCTGCTTGTATGCTTTTCCTGCTTTTCCTGCTTTTCCGCTATTTTGTTATTTCCTGCTTTTCTGCTTCTCTGCTTTTCTTGCTTCTCTCTGTTCTGTTTCCCTGTTTTTTTGCTTTTTGTTTTTCCTGCTTCGCTGCTTTTCTACTTCTCTGCCTTTCTATTTCTACTTGTCTTTTTCTGCAGTCATGCATCTTCATGATATTTCCAATAAGGACAAAAATATGCAAACCATTCCCATATTTCGTGTTACCTTTAGTCGAATTTGAATTGTGCAAGCATCTGTAATAAGCAGATTCCCAATTTGACCAAATCCTACATATTATATATGGGAATCTGCTTATCACAGGTCTGATTCTAGCGTCCCTCATTCCAGCAGATCCTTATTTGAGCGTTTTTGAGGGTTTTGGGGGTGTGATAAGCAGATGAAAATCTGCTTATAACGTGTCCACGACTATATATAATATATATATATATATTGTAATCCAGGATGAATGAAACCTGAAAACATGAGATAAAGGCGGCTTAAACTCATCCAAAGACAATCATATATTGGTGATTGGCAATCATCATTCCAAATAGGGTTGAACCTTGTTGCACCCCAACCAGCATCGGTTGATTGTGCACTCAGGTTCATAGTGGGTCATGTTGCTGGAAATTCACCTTGAACTTTACAACTTGGCTTGCAGAAAATGGGGGTGTTGACCGTTGTTCTGCCCACGGTTAAACAAAAAAGGAACACACACAAACGCATTGATGTACACGGCACCCTCAGTGATATGGGCAGAGATCATCCAAGCCAACCGAACTAGATGTGCCATGGTCAAAGATCTTTCTTTTTTTGGGGGTTGTCAGTGGGAGCCCAGTTGAACTCATTTGTCCATGGTTTGAACCCAGGGAGACGATGGCTACACTGTGGTCACCCCAATTATGAACCCAAGCTTTGTGAGGCTTAAAGGCAAACAATGCCCACATTCCTTAGTTCTGGTGTATTCTAGGGCTTACATCGCTTTACCACACACGTTTTGATCCTATTTTCCTCCCAAAATTGGGCACACCAAAATTAGAACATAATGAATACACAACATCCAAAAACATCACCGAGATTGACCCGTAGCCATAACATGCCATAACCATCTGAATTCATTTGAACTTTTGGAGTTCCGGCGGAAAAAAAGGACAGCACCTGCGTTCGGCCACGTCTAAGTCTTCCATTAAGCGGTCGCACTGAGCCTTATCCTCAGAAAACAGTTTTGGCTGAGAACTGGTGTGTGGCTTTTTCTGACCCGTCTGAAACTAGGTGGTACCTAAAATGGCAACTTCCATCGGGAAAATGATGATACATATTGATAATTCAGGAACAAAATGGGAGACCCTGAGTGCCATATTTGGAAGATGATCATTTGGGAAACTCTGTCGAGGTGGGGAGAGTTTCCAAACTGTGGGATGTAGCATTGGATGATATGCCATATTAGATGATAGAATAAATGTATATAAATGTAAATAAATGGCATATGTATTATATATATATACATGGATTAGTGACATGTTGACTTTGGAAGAAATGTAGATACATACGCCAGGGTTGATGGAGGTTTTGAGAGCATTCACCAGTGATGTCTCTGAGGGAATTCGGAATGACCGAAAATAGAAAACTATAGAAAAGTCATGTCGCACCGTTTTAGTAGGCTGTTACTTGTTCGTGTTTTTTTAGGGGGTATTCTATATACAAACAATCTGGATAAATTATAATATTTCACTAACCTGAATTAAGTCCATTTGGGGATGATTTCCCTTACCATGATTCCAGTGAGGGAGAACAGTGAGGTCGTTATAATTTACCCAGAAATAATTATCTGCACATATAATAGGCCTCTCTTGTAGAAAGGCACTCTGATCTTAGACCTCACAAGGCGCCCTAAGGTAGCCTCCCTCTCTCACTTCTTGCACTGGAGAAATTGCTAGTCTAAGGTAGCCGCCGCCAAAAAAACGACTCATGTGTTACCCCCTGGTAATTTAACATAGCTATTGAAAATTGCCATTTATAGTTGATTTAACTATTTAAAATGGTGATTTTCCATTTTGCGAACTGTTAGTTTTCCAGAGGGTAAAAAGTCCAACCCATCAAGATTTCCGGTGCCAGGGATGGGGCTTGGTGGCTAGTGACCGGGCCACTGTATATGGACCCGATTCACATTCGAATTGCAAGCCACCGCCCATGGCCCCGTGGTCCCCAGATTTCATCATTCGTTGATCTTGGATTTGCTTAAGGAACCCCAAGAAGTCAGGCGTATTCAACGTATTCCCAATAGATTCCCCATTTCTGGTGGATTTCAAATTTCCCATTGGGAAAATAAACAAGCACCTTATATAAACAAACCCAGGTGATACATGCCAAAGATGAATCCATTGACAAACTATCAACCTTCCAGACCTAGCGAATCAGCGGCCAGAAACCAGGGGCATCAGGGGCCTAGTGTCGTTCGCTGCTTTAGATATCTGTCATGACTTGAATCACCATGTTTATGTGGTTAAGTCCCTTTAAATCACAATCTTTAAGTGGTTAATTACATCCCTTTAAACAACACTCTTGAAGTGGTTTTGCTTGTTTGGAAGTATAAATACTGGCAACCGAACCTGCCAATGGCAAATTCCGCCCCTTACTGAATATTACGCTACAAAGCCCGGTTGAGCATTGGATACATTGAGGGCCGTCATGGTGGGCATCAAACATATGAGGGAAAAGGATGAAGGGATTAATGTGGGCAAAACAATTAAAGAAAAAACATCCCCCAGTCATCACCATCTTTATAGGTGGTATGTCTACCATTCCCAAATGGGTGGTTTATGGCATTGTTTTAAGTTTTAACCACATTATGGGAATTCCCAAGTCCGGACAACCCCTCCACCACTTTCTCCAAGGTGCTTCCCCAACCTGCTCAGCTGCCCGAGCTGCCTCGTTGATGCGGGGCTCAATTTGCAGCTGCACGGGGGCTGCCAAATCTGCCGTTGGGGCCTGGGTGAGCTTTGAAGACAGGCTGGGAATCCACAGCAAGCACCAGGGAACCAAGACAAATCTGGCAAACATAACGATCAAAATCGGGGAACATGGGTGATATTCTGCAAAGAATCACAACGAGAATAACCAGTCCAACAACATGGCTTGCGCGCAAATATGCAACGGATTTCGAGTTTCCATGCAACACCATCATTTTTGCCAGTTATATAATACACAGGGTATCTCACTATATTCCCATTAGGTACCATCAAATCCAATTATATAATTCCCATATATTCCAGTATATTCCTTTATATTGCAGGATATGCAGGACGGATAGTATTGTCCAAAGGCAATTCCACACCTGGTCCTGGTGGCTGGCGCTACTTTTGGCCTCCAGGGGCAGCTATCCAGCTATCCATAGCCAAAAAAACTCAGCCAGAAAAACCAGGACGTAACCAGGAACCACTTGCAACATTGGGACGATGGGATGTAACGTATTCCTCCATGGCGGATAGAAATTAGTCCAATAGATGCATGTGTTGGAATAGTATTAAAACAGAATGTACTAAGTCTCAACTCTTGTTCCTACATGGTCAAATCGAAATGACCAATGGTCAAATCCTAAGTTCTCATGTTTCAATCCCAGTCAATTCCACGTTCTATGGTTAAATCCAGCTTCTGTTGGTGAATTAGGCATTCTAAGCTGATAAATCCCATCTTTGTTGCTGGTAAAGTTCGCATGTCCACAGCTTAAATCCCAATGTTTGTTGATAAAATGCAACTCTTGAGTGGTGAAGTCCGCTGTTTTGTTGATTGACTATCCGCGACATCCGCGGGTGAAATCCCAAAGTGATTTAATAACTGTATCACGTTGCTTGGCGATGTCTGTCCCCGCCTCCTGCGATGTCTCATCCGGCTGCGCTGCCAAATGGAGCGCTAGCTTCTGAAGCATCTGGCGGTGGAACTCCTCCTGTGACGGAAAAGGCATGGGGACAGAATGATTCACATGGGTTAATAGTGGTTAATAGTGGTTAATAGTGGTTAACGATGGTTAATAGTGGTTAGTACTGGGATATGAATGATCTATATACCATATAAAACCCTATCTGGTTGGTGGTTTTATATAACCATCTTGAAAAATATGACTTCGTCAATGGGAAGGATGACAACCCATATATTATGGAAAATAAAAAATGTTTGGTAAACATGCCCGAAAAAATAAAAACAAACTTTGGAAAATCAACATGTTTAATGGGTAAATCAACTAATCATGGGTAATTATCAATAATGGACATATATGTTTACCATGGAAAGTTCATGTTATAATAGGGAAATATACTGGGAATATAGTGGGATATCTATAAAATTGGGTATGATTTACTATTGCTTTGCGAACTTTAGCAATGATACGGATTCAATATGATCAAGGCAAATCAGGAATTCACCAACCAAACCTTCAGACTTGACCGACCAAATAGAAAAAACAAAGTGAGATTGAAGAGTGCCGAAGGAGAGCCTGAACCACAAAACAAATAACAGATAATAACTACTTGGCAAACTTGGGGATTGGATGGCAATTAAAAACATGGACTTGCCAAATACTATCATTGGGATTTAACCAGCAAATAACACGATCTTATGTGAACATGTCAACTTCACCAGCAGAAAGGGGGATTCAATAGAGTTAGCCAAACACAACTCATGGTAAAACTGGTCAACCAAGTCTTGTTTTTCAAGCGCGGCTTCAGCTGGCACTTCGTTGGCAGATCAACCAATGGAGATTCAGCAACCTGATGTTCGTTGCTTCGGGAATGTTACTCTGTGATCGATATGTGTAGTAAAACTAAGCTCTTCCCAAAAATAAAATTATCTTTTTGAAGATATAATTTCCAATCTTCCTCCCTCTCTCTTGCTATTTGTCAAGTCTCCTCTCTTGCTTTGGCCAAACACACCAAAGCGCTTGTTTGTAAACCGCTCCTTTTCACATCGCCAAGTTCAATCCGCATTTTGGATGGTTCCTATGTTTGGAATGCGCAACATCCCTTCTTTTTGGATGGTTATTAATTTCATTCCTCCAATATTCAACACCCCGAATTTTATGGTCCCAAATTTGTGTGTATTCATTCCCTAGTAAACCGTTGTGTCTGTCTGGTGTTGAAATTCTACGAGGGGGAAAGGATTGGTTGATTATCCCCTTTTATTCCCATTAGATCCCAATTACATCCCATTGTACCACTATTGGGATGGGATTATGGATAGACCTCATAGACCTCATCTACAATCATATATTAAACCACAGTTCTTGGATTTTTCAAGCTTTGGTTGGTTAAATTCCAATTCTGGCTTTATCTATCAAAACAAATCAGCTGAATACGTTGATTATCCCATTATATTCCTATATGTTGATTTTTCCCTTAAATCATGCAACATCTATAGAATCTATAGCCATGTGATCGTTTAATCTGGCATATCATGGAATATCAACATCACCAACCCAGCACAGCCGAAGGCTCCTGGGGCCGATGATCCTGGAACAGCCCCATGCGCGGCGCCGCAGGAGAGCGCTGAGGAGGCGCGTGCGGCGCGAAGACAGGCACTGGTTGCACCGGCCCCGGTTGTGGGGCCACGGGCATGTAGACCTCCAGGCACCAAACTTTGGGAAACATTATGATTGACCAACCGACAAATGGTGATGGAAACATGGGAGTGTGAGTTTGCAAATTTGGTGATGGTTTCCCATAACCGACAAATGCATTTGAATGATGATTTGACCTTGGCAAATTTGTGATTTCACCAGCACAATCATTTGGATTTAAGGAACAACATAAGGAACAAACATGGTGATTCTACCTTGGAAAATGGTGACATCACCGACAAATCTTGGGATGTTGTCGTCAACCTTGGAAAATGGTGATTTAACCTCGGCAAACTTTTGATTTAGCCATCAAACATGGGATTTAAGGAATATGGAGAGCTAAGAAACAACATGGGGAGCATAAACAATTTGATTTATATAAGCACCAGTAGAATGGGGATTGAGCCAATGTCCGCATCAAACAGTGGCTATACTTGGACACCACGTAGAGTCAACTTTGCCACGTGCGGCAAGCAAAATAACCAGTTTTCCTGAGCCAAGGTTTACCAATGTCAACGGTGAAGCTTGGGTACCTGAACCGTTGGATAAATTGAAGGGGTTGGACTTGGACCACTATGACCACTACACTTGAAACATCTTGAAACCGCCACGCAACTGAAAATCTGAGTGATACAGTTACCCTCTGGTGAACTAACATAGCAATGGAAAATCACCATGTTTCATGGGAAAATCCACTATAAATAGCCATTTTCCATTGCTATGTTAGTTCACCAGAGGGTATACCTTACTGTGCATCCCATTTCAACCAACATGGCACCCCCAAAAACGGAGGATCACCGGATCATCGGATCATCCGTCCTGGTGTCCCTGTGGGATGGTTTGCTAGTGGACCCCACCCCAAAAAAAATAGCTGGTTTGTTGGTCATGTTCCCATCCATTGAACCATTGGTTGGTTGATGAATGGTTGGTCATTTTCCTAGAAAAAGTAGCATTTAACCAACTCCAACACTCCAACCATTCACCAACCAATCAGCGCTTCACCCAGTGGACCTGCTGTACCTGTGGCATCGGCATCTGGGCTGCCGTAGGCTCGCCTGGAAAGCTGGAGCTATCACTTGCTTCGTCTAGAGTTTATGGCAATGTTAATTAAACCAATGATACACCACCAAATTTAGGGGGTATCAGGGTATCCTGTTTCCAGAACTTATCATTATTGGTGTTTGTATATATTATCTATGTGCATTTACATGATATAAATTTGCATTTCCCCGGCCCATGTAGCCCCTGGATGCCGTGATTGGTTTTATTCTCATTTGGAGGTTATGCAGATTTTGCCATGAAAACCAATTCGGGGAACTATTGGTTGTCACTGGGAATTGGCGTACAGCGAACAAGTGCAAGAGCACCAATATTTCCCCCAATTAGTTTCATGAACACCCGCACTTTGAATATAGAGGGTTAAAACCTTCTTAATTAATTAACTAATTGATAGTTGCTGAATGTGCAGCAAAATCCTGCAGCTTTCCTGCTTTATATATATATAATCAAACCAGTAGGCTGATTGTTGAGCCACGCCAACTAAAAAAATACAGAGTATATAACTGAGATGAAAACATCCTTTCCTATATAGAAACCATGGGGCTGAAGGGTTGTAATTAAACCTTTTGGCGATACCTACCACACAATCCAACAAATTACATAATCAAAATCAGCACCTGAAAGCTCTGCATTGTAGAGAAAAATGGGCTTCCATATAGTTCATGATTGGTTAATGGGCTAAGATTCCACAAATGTTTTTGGGTTGTTCCTCTTGAACTTGATGGAACTCCCATAGAACAATACAGCGCTGCGCTTGGGGATCATCCCAGGCTTGATTTGTTGTTGACAGTTGTTCATCCCCACCAGAAAGGTCGTCACAGAAATCCAAAAACGCTTCAGGGGCCCTCCGCCTGGTTGCGCTGCCAGGTGCAAGGCCAGTTTCTTCAACATCTCGTGGTGAAAATTCTGCTCCGGAGCCGCTTTGGAGCGTCGCGCCTTGCCTTCCCAGGCCTCCAAGAGGCCTCACAACGGAACAAAATGGAAGGACAATATCTTAACCCAGCAAAAAAAAGTAAGCAATAGCAAGCACATAAATATATATATATATATATATATTTATTTAATGCATATACATCATATATGTTATTTATATTCTATATCCAACCTTCAAATTTCAAACCTCATTGACAGCCAAACAAATACAACAAAAGCAAACATATGCACCAAGTCGCCATGCACGATGTAGCTGGGCACGCAAACACAGTGGGAAGCCTGGCTCTCATCATCGCCAGGTCCAGCAGGTCCAGTAGGTCCACCGGAACGGTCCGTCCACACGGGCATGCCATGCTCCTCCGGTGTGGCGCAGAAACTCCGTGGCGAGTCCCGGGGAGTGGCATCCGGACGCTCCACGGGGAGGAAGAAGTTGGCGCATTCGCCTTGGCGAAACATGGGTTGATACCGAAAAATATCGAAAAATTAGGTGTTGAAGACTGAAAAATGTGAATGTTACCGACCAAAATGTGATATAACTGATACAACAAACCATGATATCCAATTATTAGCAAATTAGCACTTCAGTTAGGGAAAACCACAGAGAAACCGTGGCTTTAGCCACGAAAACCGAAAACCGCAGGTCTCGGTGAATCATGTACTAGACTAGACCTTACCAGCCATAAATCAACCACTTATCAGCCAATTAGTCATAATCAATCACTTATTCACAGCCACATAGCCATACATCAACCACTTAGCCATATATTCACCACACTTCATCACTGCCATCACCAGCCAAGTCACAAAAATGGTTCACCCGTTCGGGCGACTCATCCTGTTGCGCTTCCACCGCTGGCGCGGGACCGGGAACTGCGGGACCATCCGGTTGCGCAGCGAGGTGCAAGGCCAGTTTTCGAAGCATCTCCTGGTGAAATTCTTGCCTCAAAGGATGGGCTTACCATGGGAACATCGAAATCTGGAAAAAATGGGATCAAATTGGGATGTTCTGCGCATGACATCAATAATAAGTCACTGGATCCGGGAAAATATCGCATGTTTGGATATATTTGGGACGATTCCCCCAACTTGAACAACCCGTGTATGGTAAGGCCAGTGGATGCCAGTGGTCCAAGCAGCCTGAATTTATGGATGTGTGTCATGACTCAACCGATTGATTCAAAAGTTTGCTGTGCATCCTTGTGATCAATGCATTGCCGCATGTGGTCATCAGACCATGCTTAGGAACTCCTTGCGATGGATATAGTAAACCTTTAAAAATAAGGGGATGACCCTCCTATAATCTTAGGTAGAAACTCCTAGTGGCTCCCAGGGAAGCTGCACTATTTATATTTTGTTTATGATTATATTAGATTACTAGTGTTCATCGGCGTAACTATATTGGGTGATTATTGCTGTGTCCTGCTGCTCATCATGTCGCATCTGCTGCCTAGACACTCGTCCGGCGCAAGCGCCTTGCCACCTTTTTGGGCTCCCTTCTGCGCAGGCTCGAAGCTGGAACCTTTCCTCGGCTTACTTCGCAAATCTCGTGGGTCATCCACTGGGTCATCCAAGCACAAGTGGCAGATTTGCTGAACTGCGGCTCGGTAACCGTGGCAATGTTAAATGAACCCCCTATAGTTTGAGGTTTGAATGGGGAAAGCATGCATAAATATCTGAGCCTATACATATACATATGCATATACATATGCATATACATATATATACAAATATATTGAAATATATATATATATATGGTCTCGTGTTCCGTGTTCCTACCCCCCCCAATGGTATGGGTCCCCAGGTAGCACCCCCTTCCCTTCTATTTGCAAGCTATTGGCAGCATTTCTGAAGTCCAGCCTCTTATTCGCTTGGTCTTTGTAGGATTTCTGACTACCAGCCCCGCATTTACTAGGTACATGCTACCTTTTAGACGACCTACGTAGCACACGTACTCCCTCAATGTACCCTACGTGCTACCTTTAGTCATATATACATGTGCTATGTATCTACTTCTTACTTATTACATACATATATATATATATATTTACAAATACATAAATATTTTTCTGTATACACAATATACATATATATATATAGATATTTATATACGTACACACACATATATATATAATTATATATATAAACACATGTAAATGTATATATATATATATAAACATATGTGTATATATATAAACATGTATATATATATATATATACACGCAGTACCACACCCCCACCACACCACACGGGGAGGGGGACAGTACTATGGCTGACCCATGACCATGGCCGGGGGGGAGGGGGGTTGGAACGCTGGACCATATATACATCGGGGATTTGCCGGCAAGCCATCTTTGATGACACCAGAGGGCACGTGGATGTCCATCCTGCAAACTAACATAGTCCTTGCCAAATAGGGGTGTATATAATATATATATATATAATATAATATATATATAATATAATATATATATAATAATATAATATAATATAATATAATACAATATAATATAATATAGTATAATATAATATAATATATATATATATATGTATGTATGTATGTATGTATATGTATTGTGTGTGTGTTGGTTGAGGGGATGGTGATCCATGGTATTACATTGCACTTTTTTCGGGGCCCCAGATCCAGCACACATCAGGGCTTGGGCTGCTATTTAAAACATCACTTGATATTGGGGGGAAGGGCTTAAAATGAGATACTGATAACACCTGCGCGGCAGGCCGCTATGGGATCCTCCCAGTTTGCTCACCAAATTTTCCAGGTCAGGGCCATCCCAACATGCAGTCGTAGGATGTCGTAGGGTACCTATCTCAATGATAAGCCCAATGATGACCGGACAAATGATTAAAGGTACGGAATAGCAGAATAGCATCTAAATCGTCTATATAATAGCCATTGTTTCCTTCTTTGAAAGCCCCAGTCTCGGAACCTTCCCCCATGTAGCGGGGGTCCAGCACCTCCTGGTGCCCATAGACAATTTGCCCATGCATAGTAAATTGATGTAATTTGGAAATGTTTCTCCTATGAAAACTTGTTGTTTGATGTTGTTTCCATTACCATGCTGGGGTACCAACGGAAACCTCTGTTTGAAAAACTCAAGGGTTGGGCCTTCACGTAGAGGCCCCTCAAAAGAAGACTAAGACCATTGAAACTGACCGTTGCACATGCTCCCACGGTCTTCAATATGTTTTAATCGTGGCTAATTGCAATATTTGCAATGATAGTTCCGCCTATATACACCCCCGCCAATGATTTCGCTTGAAACCCGAAAAACCGGCCTCACAAATGATGCCTTTGCTACTGCATCCATCCGAAAATTCAGGGGCCTGATTGCAACGAACTTGGAGGGAAAACCAAAACTAGTTGGTGCTTTTAATATGTTTTAATCCATCCCAAAACTATTAGTCATGCCAAACCAATCATCTTAAGCATGGTTGAGAAACAATGAATAATCCCACCCCCTAATACTAAACACCCCTCAGAAACTTCCACATATTTGGGACCATTTAGGGGGACTAATTTGGGGTCAAACAAGAAAATCATCCAAAATGCAGAGCCACGACCGGACGTGAATCCTTTTCTCCAAGGCTCCCCTTAGGAGCCATCACTCCATACAAAGGGGCCATGGTATCGACTAAGCCATAAGCAATGTAGGAGGGAATCCATACCTCGTTGGCAAATGGGCTTGGCATAGGAGCCGCACATGGCTAGTCTCAAATTGCCTAAGAATAGCCTACATATGGCAACCACATGCTCATGAACTTTCAACAATATCACGCTAATTGAAATTTCAAAGGAGTGGTGCTTATCGTAGGCATTCCCCAAGTCTGCCAGCCCGTGTTCTACCTAAGCCATGCAAAATACCTCCCTGCCCATTTTACATACACAACAATCCATGCAATACCACCAACCAAAAAAACAAGCAACCATCAACTAACCATCATTTGAGCCGCGGACGATATTTGGTACAATGTAACAAAGGTATTTCATAATGGTACATAATGCAACTGGCGGGGTGTTCCTATCTTGTTCTCCAGTCCCCTAGCGTTTTTGGGGTCTGACCTCATTTTCCAACGCCGCACTGTTTTTAATAGCTAAATGCGTTACATGCGATGCGTACCTCGTTCTCGGGGTGTTCCTGCATCATTTTACAGCTTAATTCTGATGTCTTTGACATACCGGGGTACGCCCCAATACTACTCTCCATTTAACTAAACATAATCCATCACTAACTTATCAAACTGACATCCACTGTTTTAGGTGGTTAAAAAATGTGGTCCAAACCATATCAGTGCCATATCACTGAGAAAAAACCACCTGGTTTTCTCGTCCCTGGTCCCATCTGGTATCTGCGGGATGCATTGTCCAACGGAGCCAGCCATTGATGCCAGCTCGGATCATGCTGTCCCATGAACTCTTGTCCTTTTGCCTGGGAACGGCACGTTCCAAAAACACATGGTCACTTGCATGATACACATGAAACTCCATGTGCAGTTGGATTTAGATATTCATTCATCCATATTCCAATATAATTACTGGTATGTCCATATCAAGTTCCATCTCCATCCCCATCCATCTAATTCCATCATCTATCGATCTATCCATCTATTTATCCAGTATGCGAACAAACACCACAAATACACACGGATACGCACATTGTGGTGATTCAGCAATCTTGGGCTCCAGTTGAAAACTCATGGGAGATCGTATGGTGGTCTCTCAAAACAGGACATACTATGACACTTTCAATGAGAATATGATAAAATCAAATATTAAATTTGGGGGTGCCCTATGTTCAGACAAAAAACACAGGCACAATCATGTACCATGATATGAGTAGCGGAAAAAAATGATAAGATTTAATGCCTTGTGCAAATTAAGGTCGCCCCCTATCGAAGATTTCAGTACTCCTTCAGGTATCACAAATGGTGTAATTACTGTATCGGTATAGGGTCGTCCCCTATCGGTTATGAAGGTTTTGGGGCAACCTCAGAAAGGCCAAGGCGAAGCAAGACTAAATCAGTTTTGCGATAATCTTGTCATATGGGTATCTCTCTACTCTTTTTTGGCATCGACATGTCGAAGAGTCAATGCTAAAATGGTTCCCTAGCCTAGGTCTGATATAATGACCCCCAACATTGAAAATAAAACGCCATCATATTGTGCCAAGTTCATGGGGACTCAATTAAGCACGGGAAAATTAGGTGTTAAGCAACAATGGCGGTATAATTTGGATATAGTCAACAACTGGCTGGTGGTGTCACTCCCTGACGAAAAAAAATGTTTGTACATGTCTGTCATTTGGTCTCAACTCATGATGTACACAGGGTGCATATATAATCAGATCTTGATCTGTCAATTACAAAGAACTGAACATACTGAACCACAAGTTGATATGATCAGTTGCCATGCCATTAAATCTCAAATAGGGTTGAACATAAATATGGTTTGAAGCCATCAACCAGTATATACCATGTATTGTGATCATTTTTCTGTACAATGTACCATCAGTCTTGGATTTGCCAAAACGAAGGAAACGTGGATTTTTGTTTTCGGATTCCCAGTGGATTCCGTGGATCGTGGTGCTAGCCCGCCCCTTCCTTCGGCCGTCCATGGCACGGTTGCCGGAGGAAAAGCAGGCCACATTGGCACCGGCTCTGTGGCGATGAACATCCATTGGTCGCTCATCGCCTCCCAGTCGATCCCCGACGGTGGCGCTTGCAGATGGCCTGGATCTTGGGATATGGTGGGATGATGTGGGGATGGCCGCCTGGGGATGTTTGTTTTTTTTTTTAGTAAAAGATATCATGGAATACGATGGCACTATTGGATATACTGATTTGTATTGATAAGTTGATAAGTGATGATCATTGGATATAGTGGAATAATGGGATACACTCGAATATACTTCGATATGATGAGATATTCTTGCCTGAACGCATCGACATTTCAACCACAAAAACATAGATATGATTGTGGATATAAACATATGAGGCTCAAACCAACCAGCTTATATGTGGGGATATATAGTGGGATACAATGGGGATACCTATGATGTGAGAGAACTGATAACTAACAATATCAGTTTTGTTGGTCCAGAAATGGTTGAAAAAAGACCTTGATTTACGGCAATGTTAATGGGAACATGACAATCAACTGTGAGATCTTGTGGTGCCCTATTTTCAGGCCGATGTTGTTTGGGGGACAAGGAGCCAGGAAAGGCATGCTGAAATGCTCTGAAATGCTCTGAAATGACCATCAGGTTCCAGGGCGATTACCCAACTATGGACAACCTCAGTTTGAGGACTTCCTCGCCAGGGTTATTAACCAACTACAGGACAAGTGAGATGGTCCTCCAAGTAGTACCAAAAGGCACCGTGTCTTGGAGATCGGCCCATCAGCCTGGATGTTCCTCACGTCTTCTGTGCTCAAGGTAAACTGCTTGTGGGTCTCGCTTGTGGGTCCAGTCAATCTCATTGGATTGGTGTAAGGGACATTTTACAGGAACACCCTATATTTGATGGCAAAAACCATGGTTTCCTGTAGATTTTCCCTTAAACCAATCCAATGGCAATCATTTCTCTCTCATGCTCAAAACATCATAGCACTCCGTCCCTGCAGAATTGACCGTGATGCACAGATTGCCCGACTTGATGTTCTTTGACTTCAGGGAGTTCATGGTCTTTTGAGGTAATTTGCAAGCCGTTCCATGTGTCTGACTCTGACCAAAGTGTCCTGTCATGCTCGGAAAATGAGGTCTGAAATACTTATAACGGTATTTTACATGCTCCTGATGAATATGGCCATAAATATATAAGAGTTCGACGTTCAATTTGGGAGTGAAGAAAACTGCAATGATGCAACTGACCTCTGGAGTCAACAGCGAGGGTAGGATGGCATCTCCCATAGTATTCGGGTGCACCTGAAATAAGGTATAGTTACCCCCAACATGGCCATTGGATAGCGTATATGATGACTAACCTATCACACATACATACAGGGGGAGAGAGACACAGAGAGAGAGAGAGAGAGAGAGGGAGGGAGAGGGAGGGAGGGAGAGACTTTGGGCATGGAGTACCCGCTTTGGGAACATACCCAAATGACTGTTCTTGCCACTGAATCCCCCCGCTTTTCCGCTTTTAGCGCCGGCACCTTCCGTCAAATGGACCGCCAGGCAATTCTATATGCACATTCTTGAGCCCAGCCAAAAGGCGGAAAACATCAGAGGTTCATGCAGGATTCACCTGAAGGCTATCAACCCACATGACTCAAAAATTTGGAGCCTTGTGGCATGTATAATGGAAAGGCAAGCGGCGACCTATCCAGAATGTGGGGCATCTGGGTCTTTAAGAAAATCATATAGTATGCAATGGTCAGTATAGTATACACTAAGATGTTGAAGTCAAAACATCCAGCTGCCTTTGTCCGAAAATTTGGGACAATCCCTAAAATCACTGGTACTCATCATCTTCGGAAATCAATTTGCCAAAAATTGTGCGTATATTCAGAGTTTTCACACACAAACAGAAAATTCATATCAAGCTGATTACATATCCCATTATACACCCATGAATATCCAATTATACCCCCATTTCAATGTCCCAATTACTCTCCATAAACTGGTTGGCGCAATTCCATCATATCTAACCTTTCTTTTGCAATTCTTTTGCGACATGTGCTTATCCAAGTTATATACATATATAGTCGTTATATAAACAGTTTGTATACGCCCTCCATGCGGACAAATCTGCATGGAACACCCCACTACCATTTTCCCAGGTGAACATCCCGTTGAAATTTTGCTCGTCCATGGTTGCCCTTCAAATATCTTCTGCCAGAACGTGCATATTCTATGCAAAAAGGAATGTAGCATATTAGTGTATACACATATGGCATATGTAAATTATTATAACACTGTGTGCTAGTACATGCACGCAAAAAATGCACAAAGACAAGTAACATTGAGTAACTAAACCAACAGTGAATACATAATGTGTACCATCTGGTTATTTAAACATAGCCATGGAAAATCACAATGTTTGATAGGTAAATCATCTATAAAGGTGCCATTTTCCATGGCTATGTTAAATAACCAGAGCTTATATCCTATATAATTACAAACAAAATGATCGTCATCCTCAAGGTCTCCACCCTTCCCGCAACCCACCTGTCATGCCAGTGGTCGACTTCAGCACGTGCAACGTAGAGCCTGTGCCGAGGAAAAGATGGGCGACTTTGGGGACCCCAAAATGGGGAAATTCACCAGAAATGTGGGAGTTCAGCATTATCAGAAACAGGGGCTTAAGCAGCAAAATAATTCAAATGTAGTTGACGTGTGATCATTGAAGATGATGATGATGATGATGATGACGACCACCATGATGATGACGACCTGGGTGTTGTTCACAATGCAAGGTGCCCCAACATTATGAGTCTATACTATTTCAGTAGTAAAACACATTTTAAAACATATCTTAAAGACCGGGTTCTGGTGCAATTTGGGTGACACAGTTGGCCCTCCACTGTAGAAAACAATCAGTTCGAGGCGCTTAATTTGTCAAACCATCTGGGGTCAAAAAAATGAGCGGTAATCATCTGAGCTGAGTGATCAGAAGAGACCTTTGGAGACTGACAAATGACGGACCTTCGCCAGCCCTTCTTGAGATAGTGTTCAATTTCTAGAAATCAATCCCAGAATTGGATGATGGAAAAAAAGGAAATCCCTATCATTACTGCTAAGAATCCTGGTTTGCGATTAAGATCTTCCCTTAAACCAATCCATTGAATATCATTGTGGACTATCCCAATTTTCAACTATATATCTATCTATCTGTCTGTCTGTCTGTCTATCTATCTATCTATATATTTATCTATCCCATTTATGTAACCTTAACGTTGCATCCTGATTAACAGCTAGGTTCGCTATTGTTGCTAAAAAAACAACTTATTCAGAACCCACGATTAGATTGAAAATTTCACTATTGTGGCAACATTTTTTGGCAAACATTTTTTTGTCAAAAACATATTTGTGTGAACAAAAACACTTAACACTTTTCTGGAAAAAATGGTGGTCTGCTGTTCCCAAACAAAACAGATGGCTTATTAAACCCTTATTAAAGAACAAGTACTAGCAACTTTTCCACAATTTTTCAAGGCACTGGATCATAAGAGGGTCCAATTCACTTTAGTAGGTCTGTTCCCAGGGTTCACAATTGCAGCAGACTTTTCCAGAGCTGCTCCTGCAGCCAAGAGAAGAAAGGAAGGACTTTCCCAAAAGCAATTGCCAAGTTCAAAGCCCAAACCTTTCCCAAAAGAATAAGGATCGCTTTCTTTATGTTTTTCTTCCTTTCTCTTTCTCTTTCTCTTCCTCTTCCTCTTCCTCTTCCTCTCTCTCTCTCTCTTCTCTTTCTCTTTCTCTTTCTCTTATCAAACCTTTAACGAAAAACTTGAGGTGCAAAAGGTAACGCACCCAACATGCTGAACCCCACTCACTACACGTATTACAAGTACTACAACTACTGCAAGTACTACAACTACTGCAAGTACTACAAGTTCACGGGCAAAAAAACAAGTTCTCATTAGATTTCAATTGTCACCAATAAAAAATCTTACTGAAATGTACCCTCTGGTAATTTAAAATAGCTATTGAAAATGGCCATTTATAGTGGATTTTCCCATTAAAAATGGTGATTTTCCATAGTTACGTTAGTTTACCAGAGGGTATGATTGTCTTTGATCTGCGGAACGGCTTTTAAACACCCAAACTTTCAATTATGGCTATCCCTCGACGAGGGTATCCCTTCCACCAGGAACGGTAAGACCCAGTGGTGATGTTTACCGTAATGCGCCCAACTTATCAACAACTAATTGATCTAGAATCTAGAATCTATACTAATCTTTATAAGCCGGTGCAAATCTATATACAATATAAAATATAAAACCATATAATTCTAATACATTTAAACATATATATATATAATATCATAAAAATCCATATATATATATATTATATGTATATATATATATACATATGGGTAAATTAAAATATTTCACTAACCTGAATTAAGGCCACCAACTTCTTGCGGTCCCTGCCATTTGGGGATGATTCCTCCTACTAACCATGATTTCCAGTGAGGTCGCAGTGAGGTCGTTATAATTTACCCAGATATACCCTCTGGTAAACTAACATAGCTATGGAAAACCACCATGTTTAATGGGAAAATCAACTATAAATCACCATTTTCAATGGCTATGTTAAATTACCAGAGGGTACATCATTCTATACATCATATCAAGCCATAGCGCCCCTCGACCGAGGCACGGGATCTTTGTGGCCACCGCTTCGAAGAATTGGGTGTCCATGCCGGCAGGCGAAGCCTGAGCACCGCTTCGGACCACCAGGCACCAGGGCGGCAAAATGTGGATTTGAACCAGCAAAATCCAGCAATAATGACAATCACTAGGGAAATATTGGATAATGACCAATAATGACGCTTGTAGGGCTGGAAGGGAGTTGTGAACCAACGAACACCTTTTTTTTTTGTCCTCCCCCGAATTAAAATACGTGGAATTGAAAGGATTTTGATCAATAAGATTCAGACACAAGCTACACAGGAAAGTGGCAAGAAAGTGGGCTTCAAAAATGGTCACGACCCAAAGTATTGGGTTTCACGGATATCTGGACCCCAACATAAGTGGCCAGTGATTATATAGGGTTTGCATGGACCTATATAATTCAATAGATAGACGTGCAAACATGCTTGATGATTTCTGGCGCATATGTTTATATAATTATACATGTCGTGAGCATGTCATCCCATCATCATCGTAGCACGGGGCTTTTGAACCAAACTCATTAGACATCCAGAAAGATGTAGCTTTGAGGACAGCGAAGCAATGCGAACCCATGCGTCATACCGATCTTGAGTGAAGCGCTTCTTAAATAAATAGTTGTGCAATAGCGTGCAATATTCTGCAGTTGTTAGATGTGGATAATCCAATCTAATCAGGTCCGGAAATGGCAATGTTTTTTGCCATGCGCAACTCCCACTGCTGCTTCTGGCCTTCAAGCTATCGTTGATTTCAACCTGAGCACAGCGAGTGCGAGTCAGTAGATATGTTCACAAGTTTTCCCTGAAACCGAACTGTGACGATACACGGTGATGTGCCAATCGTAGTTTTATAAGCAACTGCCATGGACAAATAGGATTCCATGAAAAGGGCTGATATTGCCAATTGTTGCTATTACAGTATAAACTTATAAGACCATGCGCAAATAGGATGGATGTAGTTTGATTGTGCCCAATAATTTAACGGATAAATTACACAAGTATGAGGAGCAAACAGCTAGACTCGACCAAGGAAGGGAACATGACCTTTGCAATGAACACGGTGACAAATGGTGACAGTCATTGGCATGTTTCAACAAAAAGCGGGGGCATGCATTTTAATTGTGGTATTTTCGCACGGAAGGTAGCCCATCTGCATTCAGGAATCATGTGGGTAAAACAATAAACCATCCCCCAGTCATCACCATTTTTACAGGTGGTATGTTTACCATTCCCAGTCATGGGTACTATACCATCTAATTGGTGGTATACCTACCCCCCTGAAAAATATGAGTTCGTCAGATTGGATCATCATCCCAACTAATTATTGGGGAAAATATTTCGCATGTTCCAGTCACCACCAACCAGATATGTCATCTCCTGCAGTATGGTGGTTATATGTACTTAGTTATGTAACAATTTGTTAGCTATTTGTAACAACCAGTCACCAGTCATTGTTTTAACTGGCGATTTAACCACCACATTTGGCGCTGCAGATTTGGGGCCAACTGGGGACAAAAACTGGGGATCCAGGCCAACATGTCGCCCAGTTCCCTCTTGCTCTTGGCGCAAAGAAGTTGGTGGATCTCATCCACGACACCTTGCTGCTGATAAAGCTGGTGGTTGCCGCTCTTTCCAACCCGAAAAAAGATCAATATTGGCCGAGCTTAAGTTTTCATGGCCTGACAGAAACACAAATATACACAAATTGAATGGCACCTTCAGTTGAAACAAATACACATGTGTGCGGCACAGTGTGCCTTAATACACATGCATGCATGTATGCATGTATGCATGTATTTACATATGCTGATACTCAGGCATGTGTCTACCAATACTTTGTTGTTGCATGCAAGTCGGTAGACGAAAGTCGATGCAACTTTCAACAGATCTACATGTTGGGTCCCAGAATTAGTTCCTGAAAAAGTCAGGCAGAAAATCGTACGATTATTGGTAAACATAAACATATATACATAATATATATATATATATATGGCAGTGTGTCAAAACCTTGTACTCCTGGTGAACATCAAAATAGCTGGTAAATGGATGTTCATCCCACTAAAAATGGTATTAATAGGTATTGATCCATACCCATATATATATATATAAACGTATTTAAACTCTTCAACCGTAGATCTTTAACGCCAAAGCATTGGGAAATGTCAACTTCAGCGCCTTCAGCAACTCCAGGTCCAAGTCCACTGATGGCAGCACCCGCCTTTGACCTCCCGGCCTGTGCGGGGCGCGGGAGCCAAGAAACACCGGCAGTTGGATTCAATTTGGTCAATTTGAACATATTTACATAATATCTTATATATATATTATATATATTATATATATATTATATTATATTATATTATATATATATATCTGTGTGTGCGTGTGGTGATATGTATATATATATATATTATATATATTCACTGCAAATATGGTCTTCTCTGAAATTGGATGAAACTATAAACTCCATTTCTGGCCAAATCATGTGAAAAAAAGGATGTTCTAATATCCGTTGAAATTGAAGGGTAGCCGTTGCAGCCACCTGCGGGTAGCATAGATCGCCCGCCTTTTCTCGTCGCTTGCCTTCATAGGAGTCGTTGGCAATGTAGCGCATGGCCTAAAACATCTGGCTGTAGCTGTGGCTGGGTGAAGGGCATGGTAGTAGGATTATAATAGGTGAACCATCCAGCCAGAAATCGGGGAATATTGAAAAGTTGGGTACAGCATCTGCTATGACACGGGTTTTGCATGATTCTGCCATTTTACATCATATCGTGCTATATCGTGCATTAGTTCATGCTCTTGATTTTTGTAAGGGGTACCCTGCCGCAAATTAATCTAGCTATGGAAAAGCACTAGTTTTAAACGGGAAACCATCAAAAGAAATGGACCATCTATAACATCATATAACTATCTAACAAATTACCAGAGGCTAAATATCACCATTTCCATTAATCACCATGAATTTACCATAAAATCACCATTTTCCCATAGCTACGTCGCAAATTACCAGGCCAGGTGTTTTTTTGGAGGCGTGGTACGCGTCGGCATCCAGGTGTTGCGTACCCAGGAAGCGGGCGCATGCGGGCGCAGGGCGAGAAATTGATGTGGGACATGGCTAAGCCCACTTTCTTAAAGAGATAACCCTCTGGTAATGACTAAGATAGCCATGGAAAATAAGCCATTTATAGATGATAATTATGATGATTTACCTATTAAACATGATGATTTTCCATGGCTACGTTAAATAACCAGAGGGTACTCGTTAGTTTCAATGGGACAAAAATTGGCCCAGGAACATCCATTAACTTTCTTTGGGCCACAGCATCTTTGTGCAAACCAACTATTGCGCTAATGATCATCACAAATATGGATCTAAATGATGGGACAAATTTCGAACATACAAAAACAATTACGTGAAACCACCAACCAATCCTTTCGCTTCAAACATCCGCAGCATGTTTCCATCTCTCTCGTCATACTTCGCCACTCTAATCCAGTTGGACCATTAAAATGCATTAAAATACCGCTATTCCATCTCTAACTAGTTGGCTCATAGGTTTCCCTACTATGGCTTATCAAAATCTCATATAATCCGAACACATTTGGGACTATAACATACTATAACTCCCAACAAATTCACCCATCATTCATATCAACCATGGCTCAGGTGAGCACCTGCCAGAAGTCGCGGTGTTGGGCATCGATGCGGACGAAGGTATTCACCTCATCCATGATGTCTTCCACCTTGGCTCGACGCCGGATGACTTGGATGACTTTTCACGGCTTGGGGCGACCCTGTAGTCACTTGTTACAGTGGAAAATCGGGATGCTTAATGTCAACCCAAGTTGATTAATTGGGGGGGTACCATTTAAGTATCCTAAGTATCATATTGTGACTCCCCTGTCCCCTGACGTCCCCTTTGGCATGGCATACGTAGTTCGGGGATGGCTTTGGGACGAATTTTACCACAAGGTGGGGCCCCCTAGTTATAAGTTGGTTCATACTTCCCACTAAGAATCTTTATATCTAGCTGTAGTTAACCTGCTATAAACCAACTGAGGCTCAGCCCTGCAACATTTTACCCTATAATACCCTATAGCTCCTGAAAAATGGGAAGGGTCTGGCGCAAGCCTGCAACAGATTAACAAGATTGTGACCTGGTTGACACTAACAATCCCTTGCCCATCTTAAATACTTCCCTTGAAAGATTGGTTTAAACTGGGTCTAATTTGTCTAATCATCTTGGGGCTTTGTTGGTGGCATTTCATCTTAGGACCATGTTTTTCATGAACCCATCAACCAGCGGATTGGCTTCAGGGATAGCATCCAATACTGGGATTTTTTTCAACATGTAGAATTCCATCCCCGGCTCATTAAAAGAAAAACAGCACCATTCTATGGTCCCAAATATGGATCCATATATAAATACCCTATAAATCCCCTATCAAACCCATGGTTTCCGAGAGGGCATCACCGGCCGTGGACCTCGTCGATGTTCATGTTCACGAAGAGCTGGTGCGGTGGCTTGTCCAAAATGGTCATCTCCTGGGAAGCGAAAAAGGCGGAGCAACGAGCTCATGGGTTTTCCGTGGATTTTCTCTGGTTGGTGGTTGACCAAGCTACCATTGGTTGGTAATATACTGTTAATATTAATGGTTAATATTAATGGTTATTATATGGTTGATGATGGTTAATGATTCTCTGGTTGGTGGTATACCTACCCCTCTGAACAATGATGGAATTCCTCAGTTGGGATGATGACATTCCCAACTGAATGGAAACATATAAAATTCATGTTCCAAACCACCAACCAGTATATCTCATTAACCATCATTAACCATAGAAATATCATATTACCATAGATATTGCATCTCCTGTAGTATGGTAGTTATATGTACTTAGTTATGTAGCAACCGAGCTATTTGCAGCTGGTTACAGTACATCCTCCGGTGATCCATCGACCAAACCAAACACATCCCCCCAACAAGAAAAACATCTACAAGCAGGAATGCATCATTAAATTCGTGAATTTATATATATGTATATAATATATATATATACTAGTATTATTATTATTATCTTTATTATTATTTATTATTTTTCCGGCCATGGTCGCTAAAGCGTCCGTGGGCCGGCACTGCGACAGCTTAAAATTGTCGTGCGAGAGCCATTTGGTGGATTCGTCTGTTTTGCTCGTCCGTGTTTAAATAGTCCGTCCATCCGTTCGTAAGTTTGTTCCAAATATGTTTATGGGTGAAGTGGCGCCATTGTTGCCTAGGCGCTCCTACCCTCCTTTTACCAATCGGATATGCGTTTGCTGATTGAGGAGAATAAACTACTTGTCTCATTGGGTCCGAGTCTGTTGCTCTCAAAAGGTGTCCAGATAGTTTAACTCGTTTGTCCAAAAGAAGTTCGGAGAAAAGTTTCACTTCGTGCCCAGCTTTTTCGGAAGCCATTCTGGGTACAAATTCGTTGGTGTTTCTTCTGTTAACAAATGTGGGCTCTAGATTTAATATAGATCTAAGCCCCCGAAGTTGAAACGCGTTAATCTTGTTTAGCATTGCCTGTGTCAAGTGCACGGTTTCAAGACCATAAATCATTTTGTTTTGAATGACAGCCTGATAAACGCGTAGTCTCCAACCAACAGTGCAATTGGATGCTTTCCAAAAAGGTTTTAATTTGGTCCAAGCAGCCATCGTCTGCTGCATTCTGTATCCGATTTCCTGTCTCATGTTCATACTTCGTGTGATATGATGTCCTAAGTATGTTGTTTCAGTGTCTAAGTATATTATTTATTACTATTATTAATAATATTTATATATTATATTATTAATATAGGGACGTGCCACAGGTAGGTAGCATTCAACCAGGAAGCCGCAACGGTCACCCTGGCCTCGAAGTGCTCCCCTTCAGCGATCATCAGGGCCTTGGCAACCAGGTCCAGAGGCCTCCGCAAGTCACCCGTTGTGCACGGTCAGCTGGGCCACGGGGGTTTCCATAGCCATGGGGGCACCACAAAATTGATGGTGAATCGGATTAATCGTGTTTAATAATGATTCATAGCCAGTTCATAGTGGTTCATAGTGGTTGCATATGGAGGTTTCCTAAAATGGGGCTACCACAACAGTTGGATGGTTGATTGGATGGAAACTCCGTCTATAAATGGATGATTCGATGATTCGGGGGTCCCGAAACCTCCAGATTCAGAACAATTTTAAGGGACAGTTCCTGAATGTTCCTGATCATCATTTGCGGTTAGGTCCTTTTGAGGCCACTTTAATTCACACAGATTGAGTTCTCAGCCAGGTAATGCCTACCACTACCGGCCAAGTTCATGTCTAAAGCATTCTAGTTGGCTTCAAGAAAGGGAGGTGCAGAGTTGTCGTCATCCAACACGACTTGCAAACAAACAACTGTAGTTTTTGGGGTTGAACGCAAGGATTCATGATTGACTTTGCCTCAGTGGGGATGGTACAAGAGGAGGATCAAAGGAACGACTCGGGGATTTTTGACCAACACTCTTTGGGATGTGTGCCGAAAAGAAAGGATCTGTACTAATGGCTAATGCTAAAACGTGACGGGCCCGGAATGGGTGCACCCGGTGCCTCTCTCGGCCCTGCTCAATTCGGAGCATGGTTCTGGCCTGCGAGCGTCAGACTGTGATGATTTGATGCCGCACTTCCGGGCAGCTTCAACATCAGCCGGGCTAACTGAAGAACCTCTCATTAGCCCCAAACTGCACCCGCAGTCTTTTTTGATCTCTATTGAGTATCTTGAAACAAACAGGATGTACTACTCAAACAAGGGTTTCTGAAGGAGAATTCTGTCTTTTTAGAGTGAAGGGATTAGATGGGATTAGCCTAGCTCCATGATGACTGTGAGGGTGATGGTTGAGAAGTGTTCTGCAAAACCACATGCAATCGGCAAGGCATTTTAGGATTATGCAAATAACCAGCCACAACAGGGACGGAACAAGCAAGGCTAGAACCCACATTTGGAGAAATAACCGATGGGGAAAAAACAATCTGGTATATTCCCTGCAACCATTTATAGAACAATATTGCTGTTCACCTACATAATATGTATATATATATATATACTATATATCCACTTAGCACGTGGCCTGGAAATGTGCGTCGCATCTAAATGATCTCAATGCATAGGACAAAGGACAGAAACACAGGCGAAAGCCAAACCGACATGCAACAGGTTTTTTTTCTGCTGAGGAATTTGTTAATTCCGATGAACCACCAAGCTGGTTCGGTTAGTGCCTAAGAACCCGTTTTTTAACACCAAAAACATATGGGATAAGCTGGAGAAGCTATCAATCCTAAGTCCTGAGGAATCCGGATTTATATTCCCCCAACTTACGAAGATTGAAGCATTTTTGATCGATTTTGAACCATCAGCTGCCAAAAAAAATGTTCCAAACCTGCCTTGCTGGTGAACTGCTCACAGCTTGTCACTAAAACTGGTCGGCTGTTTGCAGTAAGTCCATTCTACTTTTACCCCAGGAAAGCAAAACTCGACGTATATGGCTACATGCTACAGCCAAGAATACCGTGGTTAAGATTGTTACAGTAACTCAGTAAGTCTAAAAAAAGGCTACAATGCATTATCCATTTCATCAATCCAATTAGAAGACCAGCGCTACAAACCATCCAGTCTCCTTTCAACACCAGTTCTGCCTTGGCATTGTCCAAGTGGAATTTCTCCTCTTTGGTCAGCCATTCGCCATACTCTTCGTCGTGCAACTCCTTTGGCGTCGGTTCAGGCAAATTTTTCACCGCGACGGAGATGAACAATGATGAACAGTTCTCACTTTTCAAAAGGGATGAAAAACTGAACGCATGCATTTGAAACAACCAACCTTTCAATGCCTTTCTGCACATATTTCAAAGCAAATGAAAACTTGTACTCTCTGCCACAGGTTTTCACCATGGTGGACCCATCGCTGCAAGCTTCCAAGTGTTGGATGTGCAATAAAGAGTCGTATACCTATAACTAGACAACATCAATCTAGAGTACCTCCTTGATAAAACAGGTTCGATTTGATGTTTCGATCTTTTCTATTCTTAGTTGGGATTGAAACCGTGGGATTATACTAGTAGTTTCCATCATTTATAAGCCCATAAATATCCATAAATCTGTTAAATAGCAGGATTTACAATCCAATGTCGGACCCAACCCGACACCCTGCTGGGCAGCAGTCAAGGGCCAAAAAAAGCTGGAAACTAAGCCCATTTCCGTTGATTTCCCATCTTTGGGAATTAGTTTCATCATGTTTCATCTATATGTGTTGATCTTTCTTGTGGGATCTTTGCTTATGTTTGGAGATTGTTTTCCTCCCCAAACACAACATATCAATCCGTTCAATTCATCCCATCCATCATCATCCATCATCATCCATGCCATCCATCCATTCTTTGGGCTTCATCCATATCGACCGGTGCAGTGCGACAGCACAGCGCGACCGTGGCACCTTGTCATGCTCCAGTCGTTGCTGTTCGAGCAGCTGCCTCTCCACCTCTCGCTCATCACGGCGCTTCTTCACCTGGTGCGGGAAAATACACGTGGGGATCGAATGGAGAACTCAGAGAACTCGAGAGGATGTCCAACAAAAACTGATTGAACTAACAAAAAACATCAATTGTAGCATCAATGGTGATATACCGGAATACAATAGAATCAATATAACCAGGAAAATGGAAGCATTTTATACCAACCATAGATAACCATAGTATGGGAAATATAATGGGGATATAACCAACACAATCCACCATCTTTTTGATCATTTTCGGAATGGGAAATTTCCTCAGGGTACGGTGCAAACGAAATACGTCAACGAAGAAACGGATGAGTCGCAACATGTCGCAACAATAGATGCTTCAGTCGCACCAATCAATCCAAACTACCATGCCAGCACTTGCAGTGTGGTTCTACAGTATCTGTTCTCTTCCACAGCTTTCTATTTCCATCCCCACCACAACAGGACCTACGTCGAAAACGCGGCAAACAATCACGTTTTCTGTCTTGGATTGCTTTAAATTGGACCCAGTTAAACAAGCATCGCCAAAGATTCCCCAAATTGTGGATTTGGCAAGATCAAAAAATCACAGGGCCTGTACCATGCTCTTTATGTGAGTTCAATCTCCATGTTTGCTGGTTCAATCCCCATGTTGATTGGTTCAACCCCAATTTTGGCCAGTTGAATTTGAATATTGGTCTGTTGAATCTCCAGTTTTGTTGGTGAAACTACCGTTTTAGTTCACCTCCCCATATTATTGCGAGTCTGCGAGTCCCATTTTGGTTGCACCGTTTCAACTGTTCCACCTCCCATGATTTTTCCCAAAAAACCCTAAGAATGTCCTAAGAATGTCCTATAAGAATGTCTTATAAGAATGTCCTAAGATGTCCTAAGATGTCTAAGATGTCCAGCCTGCTGAATTTCGCGGATCTTGCTCTCCATCTTCGTCACTTCTTGCTCTTTGGACGAGGGCCGGTAGAGGCCTGGAGCGAGCCCTTTTCGCCAGGTCCCCGTGCGCCACGGATGTGGAGAAATGATGACATGTCAATAATAAATTTTCAATGGGCATACATATGACAAATATGTATCTTATATATATATACACGTATATATACTTGTATGATTTATATTGTATATATATATATATATTAATGATCATCGAGTGGATCATCAATGAATATATATATATATGCTAGCCACCCCCAAAAAAACCTACCTTTGCCTGCTTGTAATGCTACACTACAACTCTTTTGGAACAATTATTGTTCCCAGTGAATACTGCATAGACTAAGAGAGCTTTCTTATTGAAGTTATGCTGTTCCCTTTCAAGTCACTTTTCTTCAGAAGGGGCACTGTCAATCTCACAAAGGTAGCATTTGTGATGTTTTTGTTTGAGCAAAGACGGCTCACATTTGTTCATTTCAAGTATACACAATTACTGTCAAAACATTAGGGCATACTGTCTCTAGAAAGCACAATGTAGCAGTACTTGTGCCACATGTGCAGCATGTTCTTTTAAATATCCAACTTGTTTTTCATCAAATATAGTGTCACTTAGAGAAAAACATGTATGTTCTTCAAAGTAATGGCTACATTTCTGAAGATAGTCTTATTTGATTTGAAGAGATACTGCATTTGATTGGAAGATGCCTTGTATGTTGCAGGGACTGTTTGTGCAACGTGTTTCTTCCTTCCAGAAGTATTGTACTTAGTACGTTATGAAATGGTTCTGTGAATTAAGAATGCATATTTACATGTTGGAAAAAAAAACAGATTGATCGAAATGAAGAGATATATTTTCAAGAGAAGTGGCTTTCTGCAAAGGAATGCTACCTATTGAAAAGGAATACTCTTTTTGCTTAAGGAATGCTACACCCTTTGAATGAAAGTGTCTGTTTGTAAAGCCTGCTCTTGTCACTTAGAATTGGTTCTTCAAGAGAAGGATGCATGTTTGAGCATCTCTTGTAGTCATTTACATTGTTTTCACTGCCTTTTTCAGGTTTGGGGAAAAGACCCAAAGTTGAATGATCTTTTCCGTGTGGTTCGAATCACTACTTAAGAGAAACTTTGCAGAGAGGTTGAGGTACTTGGAGGTACATAAATAAATGTAAATTACACTTAAGACATAGTTTGGAAGGGGTACGAACTAAGATTGCAAGAATTGTACTTAGGCATTCTGCAGCCTCAAGGAATGCATTCAGAATGCATTCTTCCCCCAAACCAAGATCCAAGATCCAAGAGTTGCGGAGAAGTCTTGTGCAAATCTTGGATTTGAGATTTGCCAGAATACCCTTACCAACCTATCAAAATTCTTTAGGAATCCAAGATTTTGATCAGGAGTCTTGTGGGAATCTTGGATCTTGGATCTTGGTTTTTGCAAAGAATGCATTCTGAATGCATCCCTTCAGAATGCAGAATGCCCTAAGTACAAGGAAGAATCAAAATCAACATTCTGCTTACTACCCTGTGTGTGTGTATTCACATATGTATATATATATATATATATATGTGTGTGTGTGTGCACATATATATATACATAAATATATATGGGAAAACCAATACCCAAAACTCTCCAAAATTGTCCATTTAAAACCATTCCAAAAAATAGACACGAAACACCGCAAATACCAGTAAAAGTGATGAGAAGGTAGGTTTTCTTTTTTGGGGGTACCGCATATATATATATATATGTCTATCAATGGGTAAAATGTGATGCCCTCTGGTGATTCAACATGGTTTTGATGGCCAATGTAGTTCGATGATCTTATAGCTACCAGAATGCTACCAGTATGTTGGTTTACTGGAGGGCATCGGGTAATTGATATTGAACCAATGCAATTGATATTGAACCAATATCACATATATATATATATACACATGTGGCTTCCCATGGAAGAGTTGATTTAGTATTTAACATATATGAATATACGGGAGTTATGATGGATTCCCTTAGGAGTCATCAATCCATTTCAGTGAGGATCCATTAAGGAACAAACCATAAAACATCCGCATTCTTCTTGCCTGAAAGATTTCTTTGGGGATGGGTAATGCTATTTGAGAACGTCTGGACACATGTTTGAAAGTAATTTCTGGAGTGGGGATGGGCAATACGGAATTTAAAGATATGACGGTGTCCAGCTCTAGGATTTTTCCTAGGCAAAGAACTGCCATTTTTGGCTCATGGGATTCATCTCCATCACCCACCTGCGGCTTGTAGGTACTCATTCTTCTTCTTCCAAACAAATTTTTGTGTCAAGGTGTTGTCGCCGAACCTCGCGGCGCCAGTCGCGAGCCAGGGATCTGGGAACAGCGGACGTTTCTATGGGGCTACTGCCTCTCCCACCCGCCAAAAAAAAAGAAAACAAACACTTTACAAAGGTTGATGGGTTGATTTGCCTCCTGAAATCATATCACTTCTAATTCCCATCATGAGTCCTGGCCCAATCGGCCCTGCAATTTGGTGATAGCAATCGTCTGTTGGGGGTCAATACCCTCAAAGCATAGCAACGGAAATCACCCAGACAATCCCAGACATGTAGATGATGTTCCTTGCACAAAAAACTTTGAACACTTTGCTCTTCCAGCCATGTTGAGACAGTCCAGTTGAGATTCTGAGGTCGGATTGCCCAAAACAAATGCTGGAGCAAGGAACAAAAACAAGGCTGTGGGGATATCACTAGTGATAGTCTCAAACATGAGAATGGCACAACTCGCAGTCGTATGTGCGTTTATTTCAAACAAGCAAGGACTAATTTAGAGGTTGATGCACCTCTGATTTGTTCCATCACCATATTCTGCTGGTGAAAACGAGTACTTTATTGGGAAAAAGGAGGCCAGCGTTGTTGTTGGTGAAATATCCGTCCAAGTATCAGTCAAGTATCCACTGTATTTTGCCGACCTGCCAAGGCCGCTTTGATCACTGCCATTTGGTTTCCCGGCGGATTGCTTTCATCTTTGTATCCCAACCTCAGGTGTAGACAAAATCAATCGCGCAAGGGCCGTCCTTTGGGTTCCCCACTGAACTTTCAAAGAGCTCAACATCGCATCGTCTCCTCATCCCACATTTCTCTAAGGTGAGATGTTTGTGGCGCCTTTTGGACATCAGATGTTCTTGCCTAAAGCCCCTTGTGTATGGCATATGTACATATATGTACCAACATTATAATATTATTCACCACACCCCAAATATGGAACAAAACAACACCTCACCCCAATGTTGGAACATATTCCACAACTGGAGCGTCTAGGATGGGTTATTTCACCATCAGCCATTGGGATTTAACCAGTCGAAATTGGGATCCATATGGATCCAATGAGTTTAACATAATCTGCTTGGTGGTTGACCTACACCTCTGAAAAAATATGAGTTCGTCCAGTTGGGATGATTATTCCATTCCCAATATATGGAAAGTCATAAAAAATGTTTGTAACCACCAACCAGTACAGTAATAGGTTAACCCAAGATTGCCCCTGAAGCTGACCAAGCAACTCCTTCGAGAAGAGGTCTTTTCGTTTCTTCTTCACCTGACTTTCTATGCGCTGACAAAGTGGGGAATGCTAGGCTAGTGTGTCGATGTGTGCCTTCTGAATGGGAAAACAAACAGAACCTCTAGAATGATTGTGTTTTTCTCCGTTTTTTTGCTGCAAAAGGTTGAACCGTAAAAATTACGATCTAACCAGCAAACCTAGTTTCTGCATGTTTCTGCCAAATCGTCACCGGCCACAGTAGCATGGTAACATCATAAAATCGAGGGTATGTACCCACTTGGGGTTTCTTAGTTCTGTTTAACCACCACTGGGCACAGTGCTGGGATGTCATCATATGCCATCACTAGCTCCGGAAAGAAAGACCATCCGCAAAACCCTCCTTACACTTCCCTTTCCTTGCGCCTTGAAAATGCCTACTTCCGAGTGCAGGGTTATTCGATTGTATTGGCTTAAGCCCGCATTGGACCTACTCGAGACAAGCCGAGGCCCCTATTGGGATACCAATCATGCCGGTGCATCCCCATTTGAATTCCAAAGAAACAGTGGATGAATCAGACCTACACCCCAGCACACCATATTTTGGGACAAAAAACGTCTATAAATCCCAGCAATCTTGGGGTAAAACAGCGGGCCAGAATGACCCAAACATCATCCCAGAATCCCTCCGTGGCTACTCCGGAAAACATGGCCCGTGTGGCATTGGCTACTCCAGCTCCTCGCCCCTCAGCAGCTGGGCTGTTGCAAGGATCAGGGGTGTATGGTCAACAAAACCGCAGGGATGCACACGTGCCTGCATCCGAAATAACATGTATATAATATAATACATGTATTATACATGTATAATCATGTATATACTATATACTGTAGAAGACTATGATGGAAGTAGATTAAATATATCAAATGCCAGGAATAGGATTATCACCAGTTGAGGGTGTGTGCATACTGAGATTCAATGGCTAGAATGGCTAGAAACCTCAAGTTCATCTCCAGGCGCTACTTCCCCGGCTAATATCTTGATGAAGACCCCAAAAAATAAAAGAGGAAACACACACACACACACAAAAAAAAAAACATATCCTCTGGCTATTTAACATAGCCATGGAAAGATCCACCATTTTCAAGTTCGGTAAACCATCTATTTCTATGGGCCATCTATACCATGGCGAACTGTTAGTCATAACCAGATGGTATCACAGAATGGATCTTCTTATGATCTTTCCCTTGACTAATTCTACATTTTAGGGTGCTCACTATTGACAGAGCGCCAAGAGGTGAGAAAAAGTTGCAATGCTTGCCCGACGGCAGGAGCCACAGAGATTCTCTCTGACAATTGATGTAGAATGCACCAGGGCTGGAAGATATTCCATTTTGATAACAAGTTCTCCATTTTTCTTGGGGGAGCACAATCCCTCCAATCAATCAACCAACGGTTTAACCGATCCGGAGTTGACTGAAACCATATTACCTAGCAGTTGGATTGCGTTATATGTTTTCATGAATAATGATCGTCAATCCTTGACACCACCACCATTAGTATACCATCCGATTCTCTAAC